ATAAAATTTACCATTTTAACCCTTTTTAAATTAGGGTTAGATACATTCATATTGTTGTGCCACCATCACTACCATCCACCTCCAGAACTTCTTATCTCCCCAACTGAACCTCTGTACCCATTAAGCACTAACTCCCTATTCCTTGGCAAACACCACTGTACTTTCTGTCTCTATAAACCTCACTATTCTAGAAACCTCATAATAAGAAGAATCATAAAATACTCTTCGCAAAGTTCTGCCCGCTAATTTTAGCATCTGTTATTGGATCCTGCCTGCAACCATTACTACTGTGGTGTTCTAATGGTGATTTTCTACTTCTCTCATTCCTTCTACTCATCTGCTTTTGAAGCGTTAAAAGCTTCCTCTGATTCACCGAAAGATTGATCAATCAAGTTATTCTAATTCTTGGAAAGAATTAGCAGAGAGTAGTTCAAATTGCTGATTAATAAAAGAAGGTAGCAGGCCTGTCCCATGCTTGTGCATCAGGAATAACTATATAATTTGCACGTCCCAGCACAAAATGAAAATGTGGGGACCCTTGTTGGAAAATGATTAAGAATTCCAAGATGGTGACAGCAGAGCATTAAACCTGTGAAGAGCCTCTGTGGGCTCTATACTACTGCACACCCACGAAGCTGACGCTGCTGTGTAACCTTCCCTGGTTTGTTAGGACCACCCAGCTACTTTACAGAGCTGTAGGATCCTAAAGGACAAGCAGCTGTGCCCCAGGGCTGGCCATTTCTCGAGATCTCAAGACGCCCCCTCCACTCCCATTCTCTAGGCAACCAGGAAGGTAAGATTATTCTTATTCTTTTTAAATCTTTTTTTTTTTCCCGTCTCATTCAGATGAGAAAGAGACCCATTGCTTCTCTGTAACTAGCTCAGTACCGGGCTAACAACAACCCCCAATGAGGCTTCTAGTCTGAGGAGTCCCAGAGCAGAACTCACAAGGGCCCCCATCTCTTACCACGATGGAGGTCAGGTCCTCACTCTCAAAGCGGCTGATGGCCTGGTCCAAGGATTTATACATGGCGGCAGAGATGCGCTGGGTAATGAGTCTGTTCAAGTCAATTGATCTACCCAACAGCTGCATAGAAGAGAGAGAGACAGAGGGAGAGATACAAGGTTACTTATGGTTTGTTTACACAGGCACATGACAACTAAATGCAATGCATTGATAGGAAATTGTATTAAAATTATAAACAACATGGCCAGGACAAATAGGGACTCTATGAAGAAAATAGTATTATTAAATTTCCTGAGTATGATAATTCTATTTGGATGATGAAAGAATGTCCTTGTTCTTAGGAGATACACGCTGAGGTATCAGCGGTAAAGTGTCATATGTCTCCAACTTACTCTCAACTGGCTAAGAAAAAAGTATGTATATTAAAATATATATTTTATTATAGTGGGTTAGCCAAAAAGTTCATTTGGTATTTTTCCATAGGATGTTACAAACATTTTGGTCAACCTAATATTTATATATAAATATGTTTTTTAAATTATGTATACTATAAACATATATTTAAACTACACTTACTATATTTATGAGAGAGCAAAAACACATATATGAGAAAAAGAAAGTGAATCAAATGTGGTTAAAACATGAATAATCATGAGTCTGGCTACAAAGTATATCTGTGTGTTTACTGTGTTATTCTTTGATAAACACAGATGTCAAAATCCTGAACAAAATACCAGCAAACAGAATCCAACAGCACATTAAAAGGCTCATACACCATGATCAACTGGGATTTATCTCAGGGATGCAAGGATTCTTCAATATATGCAAATCAATGTGATATACCTCATTAACAAATTAAGGAATAAAAAACATTTGATCACCTCAATAGATGCAGAAAAAGCTTTTGACAAAATTCAACACCCATTTATGTTAAAAACTCTCCAGAATATGGGCATAGAGGGAACGTACCTCAACATAATAAAGATCATATATGACAAACCCACAGCAAGCATCATACTCAATGGTGAAAAACTGAAAGCATTTCCACTAAGATCAGGAACAAGACAAGGATGTCCACTCTCACCACTCTTATTCGATAGAGTTTTGGGCAGTCAGAGAAGAAAAAGAAATAAAAGGAATCCAAATTGGAAAAGAAGAAGTAAAACTGTCACTGTTTGCCAATGACATGATACTATACACAGAAAATCCTAAAGATGCCACCAGAAAACTACTAGTGCTAATCAACGAATTTGGTAAGGTTGCAGGATACAAAATGAATGCACAGAAATCTCTGGCATTCCTATAGACCAACAATGAAAAATCAGAAAGAGAAATTAAGGAAACATTCCCATTTACCACTGCAACAAAAAGAGTAAAATACCTAGGAATAAACCTGCCTCAGGAGGCGAAAGACATGTACTCAGAAAACTATAAAACAGTGATGAAACAAATCAAAGATGACATAAACAGATGGAGAAATATACCATGTTCTTGGATTGGAAGAATCAATATGGTGAAAATGATTAGACTACCCAAAGCAATCTACAGATTCAATGCAATCCCTATCAAACTACCAATGGCATTCTTCACAGAATTAGAACAAAAAATTTTACAATTGATATGGAAACACAAAAGACCCCAAATAGCCAAAGAAATCTTGAGAAAGAAAAATGGAGTTAGAGGAATCAGGCTCCCCAACTTCAAACGGTACCACAAAGCTACAGTAATCAAGACAGTATGGTACTGGTACAAAAACAGAAAATTAGATCAATGCTACAAGATAGAATGCCCAGAGATAAACCCATGCACATAGGGGCACCTAATTTACAACAAAGGAGGCAAGAACATACAATGGAGAAAAGACAGCCTCTTCAGTAAGTGGTGCTGGGCCACCAAACCAGCTTTACAACAAATGCTAAAGGAACTTCTCTAGGCAGAAAACACAAGAGAAGGAAAACACCTACAATAAAAAACCCAAAACAGTTAAGAAAATGGTAATAGGAGCATACATATCGATAATACCCTTAAATGTAACTGGATTAAATGCTCCAACCAAAAGACATAGACTGGCTGAATGGATACAAAAACAAGACCCATATATATGCTGTCTACAAGAGACCCACTTCAGACCTAGGGACACATAGAGACTAAAAGTGAGGGGATGGAAACAGATATTCCATGCAAATGGAAATCAAAAGAAAGCTGGAGTAGCAATTCTCATATCTGACAAAACAGACTTTAAAATAAAGACTATTACAAGAGACAAAGAAGGACACTACATAATGATCAAGGGATCAATCCAAGAAGAAGGTATAACAATTGTAAATATTTATGCACCCAACATAGGAGCACCTCAATACATAAGGCAAATGCTAACAGCCATAAAAGGGGAAATCGACAGTAACACAATCATAGTAGGGGACGTTAACACCCCACTTTCACCAATGGGCAGGTCATCCAAAATGAAAATAAATAAGGAAACACAAGCTTTAAATGATACATTAAACAAGATGGACTTAATAGATATTTAAAGGACATTCCATCCAAAACAACAGAATACACTTTCTTCTCAAGTGCTCATGTGACATTCTCCAGGATAAATTGTATCTTGGGTCACAAATCAAGCCTCGGTAAATTTAAGAAAATTGAAATCGTATCAAGTATCTCTTCCGACCACAATGCTATGAGACTAAATATCAATTACAGGAAAAAATCTGTGGAAAAATACAAACACATGGAGGCTAAACAATACACTACTAAATAACCAAGAGATCACAGAAGAAATCAAAGAGGAAATCAAAAAATACATAGAAACAAATAACAATGAAAACATGATGACCCAAAACCTATGGGATGCAGCAAAAGCAGTTCTAAGAGGGAAGTTTATAGCAATACAATCCTACCTCAATAAACAGGAAACATCTCAAATAAACAACCTAACCTTACACCTAAAGCAATTAGGGAAAGAAGAACAAAAAACCCCCAGTTAGCAGAAGGAAAGAGATCATAAAGATCAGATCAGAAATAAATGAAAAAGAAATGAAGGAAACAATAGCTAAGATCAATAAAACTAAAAGCTGGTTCTTTGAGAAGATTAAAAAAAATTGATAAACCAATAGCCAGACTCATCAAGAAAAAAAGGGAGAAGATTCAGATCAATAGAATCAGAAATGAAAAAGAAGTAACAACTGACACTGCAGAAATACAAAGGATCCTGAGGGATTACCACAAGCAACTATATGCCAATAAAATGGACAATCTGGAAGAAATGGACAAATTCTTAGAAAAGCACAACCTCCTGAGACTGAGTCAGGAATAAACAGGAAATATAAACAGACCAATCACAAGCACTGAAGTTGAAACTGTGATTAAAAATCTTCCAAAAACAAAAGCCCAGGACCAGATGGATTCACAGGTGAATTCTATCAAACGTTTAGAGAAGAGCTAACACCTATCCTTCTCAAACTCTTCCAAAATATAGCAGAGGGAGGAACACTCCCAAACTCATTCTATGAGGCCACCATCACCCTGATACCAAAACCAGACAAAGATGTCACAAAAAAAGAAAACTACAGACCAATATCACTGATGAACATAGATGCAAAGATCCTCAACAAAATACTAGCAAACAAAATCCAAAGCACATTAAAAGGAACATACACCATGATCAAGTGGGGTTTATCCCAGGAATGCAAGGATTCTTCAATATACGCAAATCAGTCAATGTGATAAACCATATTAACAAACTGAAGGATAAAAACCATATGATCATCTCAATAGATGCAAAAAAATCTTTCAACAAAATTCAACACCCATTTATGATAAAAACCCTCCAGAAAGCAGCCATAGAGGGAACTTACCTCAACACAATAAAGGCCATATATGACAAACCCACAGCCAACATCGTTCTCAATGGTGAAAAACTGAAACCATTTCCACTAAGATCAGGAATAAGACAAGGTTGCCCACTTTCAACACTACTATTCAACATAGTTTTGGAAGTTTTAGCAATCAGAGAAGAAAAGAAATAAAAGGAATCCAAATCGGAAAAGAAGAAGTAAAACTGTCACTGTTTGCAGATGACATGATACCATACTTAGAGAATCCCAAAGATGCTACCAGAAAACTACTAGAGCTAATCAATGAATTTGGTAAAGTTGCAGGATACAAAATTAATGCTCAGAAATCTCTTGCATTCCTATACACTGATGATGAAAAATCAGAAAGAGAAATAAGGAAACACTCCCATTTACCATTGCAACTAAAAGAACAAAATACCTAGGAATAAACCTACCTAAGGGGACAGAAAACTATAAGACACTGATTAAAGAAATTAAAGATGTTACAAACAGATGGAGAGATATACCATGTTCTTCAATTGGAAGAATCAACATTGTGAAAATCACTGTATACCCAAAGCAATCTACAGATTCAATGCAATCCCTATCAAATTACCACTGGCATTTTTCACAGAACTAGAACAAAAAATTTCACAATTTGTATGGAAACACAAAAGACCCTGAATAGCCAAAGCAATCTTGAGAAAGAAAAACAGAGCTGGAGGAATCAGGCTCCCTGACTTCAGACTATACTACAAAGCTACAGTAATCAAGACAGTATGGGACTGGCACAAAAACAGAAGTATAGATCAATGGAACAGGATAGAAAGCCCAGAGATAAACCCACACACATATGGTCACGTTATCTTTGATACAGAAGGTGAGAATATACAATGGAGAAAAGACAGCCTCTTCAATAAGTGGTGCTGGGAAAACTGGACAGCTACATGTAAAAGAATGAAATTAGAACACACACTAACACCATACACAAAAATAAACTCAAAATGGGTTAAAGGCCTTGGTGTAAGGCCAGGCACTATAAAACTCTCCGAGGAAAACATAGGCAGAACACTAGATGACATACATCACAGCAAGATCCTTTTTGACCCACCTCCTAGAGAAATGGAAATAAAAATAAACAAATGGGACCTAATGAAACTTAAAAAGCTTTTGCACAGCAAAGGAAACCATAAACAAGACAAAAAGACAACCCTCAGAATGGCAGAAAATATTTGCAAACGAAGCAACTGAGAAAGGAATAATCTCTAAAATATACAGGCAGCTCATGCAGCTCAATATCAAAAAAACAAACAACCCAATCCAAAAATGGGCAGAAGACCTAAATAGACATTTCTCCAAAGAAGATATACAGATTGCCAACAAATACATGAAAGGATGCTCAACATCACTAATCATTAGAGAAATGCAAGTCAAAACTACAATGAGGTATCACTTCACGCAGGTCAGAATGGCCGTTATTAAAAAATCCAGAACCAATAAATGCTGGCAAGAGTGTGGTGAAAAGGGAACCCTCCTGCACAGCTGGTGGGAATGTATACTGATACAACCACTATGGAAAACAGTATGGTGGTTCCTTAAAAAACTAAAAATAGAACTGCCATATGACCCAGCAATCCCACTACTGGGCATATACCCGGGAAAACCATAATTTAAATAGAGACATGTACCACGATGTTCATGGCAGCACTATTTACAATAGCCAGGACATGGAACCAACCTAAATGTCTATTGACAGATGAATGGATAAAGAAGATGTGGCACATATATACAATGTAATATTACTCAGCCATAAAAAGAAACGAAATTGAGTTATTTGTAGTGAGGTGGATGGACCTAGAGTCTGTCATACAGAGTGAAGTAAGTCAGAAAGAGAAAAACAAACACTGTATGCTAACACATTTATATGGAATCAAAAAAAAAAAAAGGTACTGATGAACTTACTTGCAGGGCAGGAATAAAGAGGTAGACACAGAAAATGGACTTGAGGACATGGGGTGGGAGGGTGAAGCTGGGGCGAAGTGAGAGTGGCATGGACATATACACACTACTGAATGTAATACAGTTGGCTGGTGGGAAGCAGCAGCACAGCACAGAGAGATCGGCTCGGTGCTTTGCGATGACCTAGAGGGGTGGGATAGGGAGGGTGGGAGGGAGGGGATATGGGGACATGTGTATGCATATGGCTGATCCGCTTTGTTGTGCAAGAGGTACTAACACAGTATTGTGAAGCAATTATACTCCAATAAAGATCTATTAAAAAAAAAAAGTTGAGGAAGAATACGATGCATTCAGACTGTAGGAAGAGGCTCAGGACACACTCTGGTACCCCATGCATTGCTGACATCCTGAATCTACCTTTGAAGTTCTTCCTGTATCCGTCCTGTGCCCCAGTTCAGAGTCACCAGGGAGTAGCAGTCCCCCCAGCAAGGGCCTACCGTGTACCTTTATGGGGATGAATTTAAAAGCATGAGGAGAAAGGCTGACTACAGGCTGGAAAATATAGCTTAGGATAATTTCCACTGGGGTACACGTGGGCATTACTGCAGATGCTACATAGATAGCAATGAACATCTATTGAGTACCTGTTGTGTGCACTGCACTTTGCTAGGTGCCCAAGGATTATTCTCAACTATTTTAGTTTTTTTCTGCTTCCCTTTGGGGAGAGATTTTCCAACTGACTAAGGCTCCTTATAGTGCACACAGAGCCCTCAAGATTAATGTCCTGTGACTAATTCTAGCTGCACTGGTAACTGATAGCTGTAATCTTCTGAGAGGCTGAAGGAAAAACTCTCTTTGAGCCCTTACTGTTGGCAGAGGTGAAAATGTTTTTTTCCTCTTATGATTCTCCATTTCTTAGGTTTCTCAGAGCAATGGGAATATCCAGGGCTTCCAGGGTAAATCCTGTCCTCTTTATCCAGGGCATCTTCTCAGTCTCAGCCCTGCTTCCCTTCACCCAAGTCTTCTCCGCAAACACGTGAACCACAGGATAAGCACACAGAGGTCACAGCATGAAGGCCATTTCAACACTGGGTGGCTGACAGCAGGGCTTAGGAGTAGGATGCAAGGTCTGCTGGAGCATCTCTTATTTTTGTCTGCCAGGCTCACGTGAACATCTTTAAGCAGGGATATGTTTCTAGTTCCTGGCAGAATTTCCTCTACATCTGGGGTCAAATGTTAACAGAGACTAACTCCATAAAAAGAAACCATAATGGGCCCTGTTCAGGGGTAGATTTACCCATTTCTGAACATTAGTCTCGACTGAAGGAGGTGGGCTGCAGCTTATGATGGGAGGACAAAGGTGGCCGCTACTCATCAGAGGTGAATGGCAGCTGGGCTGAGAAGCCTAGAACTTGAACCAAAGGAAGCCCAATGCCTCTTGACTGTAAGATTCTGAGGGGGTGTTACATCCATGGTCAGCAGCCCACGCGGGGCAATACCCAGGGAAGATGGTAAGCAGTCCAGATTTCCAATCTCTAGGCTAACGTCACAGTTCCTCTCTCCTGCCCATTCCACCTCTGTCACCATACCTGGACGTGTCTCTGCTTCAACAGCGTTTCGTAGCGGTTGGATGGTGGGTATGGAATGATGACTCCATAGTTCTTACATTCAGCCCTAAAACGTTTATCCAACAGGACACTGGAAGGGGTAAAAGTGAAATAAGGCCAGTAAACATGACGGTGAATGGTGATCAATCACCCAGCCATGTGTATTTTAAACCACAGGATCTACTCATGAAGTGCTATCTTATATATTTTAAATATTTTTTTTCTGATCTAGAGCAAAGTTCTTCTACTTTTTTTCAGCCCAAAAAGCTCAACATGTGAAATAGAATTTCTGCGTTAAAGACAGGCGACACAGAAGTTGAGACGCTTTCTTGCTTTTATTCATTCACCATAAAAGCAATTGAGTCCCTGCTTAGTATATCCCAGGAAACATTCTAGGTACCGGGGATACAAAGTTCTTGTCCTTATGGAGCTTACGTTCTAGTAAAGAGAGACTGATAATAAATAAATAGGCAGAGGAATAAAATAATTTCAGATAACAGTAAATACCTGCATGGTATTTACTATTCACCAGGCATACACGTACATGCAGAGAGTCATTTTTAATCTCACAACAATCCTATGAATTAGATGTTCTATTATGATCTTTTACACTAAGCCATGGATTGCAGAGTAATAAGTGCTCTGAAAATAATAAAACAGGATCATTTGGTGTTAGGAGGTCAGGGAAAGCCTCTCTAAAGAGGTTCTGTTGGACAGAGACCTAAATGCTAAAAATGGAAAGATCTGGGGGAAGAATCTTTCAGGCATGATTAGCTTGGTATGTTGAGAAAAAGGAAAAATGGTCAGTGTAGATAAGGGGCAGGTGTGCTGGAGAGTATGGTGCAAAAATGAATTTATAAAGTTAGTCTAGGGGCCAGACCATGTGGGACGATATAAGCCACAGCAAGGAGGTTAGATGTTTTCTAGATGTAATTGAAGCCACGGAAAGTTTTTAAGCAGGAAAGTGACATCATCTAAATCTACCCTGTCCAATACATCAGCCACCCACCAGGTGAGTCTACTAAGCACCTGAAACGTGGCGGGTCCAAGCTGAGATGTGCTATTAGTATAAAATACACACTAGATGTTGAAGACTTAGGAAAAAAACATTGAAAGCTATTTCCTTAATAACTTTTTATTGGTTACATGTTGAAATTATAATATTTTAGATATAATGGATTATATAAAATATAGTATTAAATTAATTTTTAAAATATGGCTACTAAAACGTTTACAATTACATCTGTGACCCAACATTTGTGATTGCATTATATTTCTGATGGACAGCAATGATCTAGATCACTCTGTCCCTCCTGTGCTCTCTGACTCTCCCAACTTCTCGCAATCTCCCCCAACTTCCCGTATCTTTGACAAACCACTGATCTTATAAGGAGGGATACAGGTTAAGATTCCTATTTCAGATAAGGATATTTTGTAAATTAAATATATAGAAGACCCAGGGTTTGACAAGTCTGAGTTTGTATACACAGACAATGGACCAGCATATTTGAAAATTATCTTAGAGAAGCTGGAAGCCCACTCATTGTTAAAACCCCATGCAATTCAATCCAGACACTTGTGAAGTGACTCCTTTGTGAAAGGCTGTGTTCTCTGTGCTTTCCCTGAAACCCTATGCATATGCTTTCTATAGTTTACATCCTTAAGAGCCATTCACTTCATTTAATGCACATTCTGTGTTAACAGACACTTGTGCATCTGTATACCACCTCCTGTCTGAACTCCATCAGAACAACTCAAGTTGTTGAAAGCAAAACAAAGCAAATTTTTATTGTAGGGAAAAAAAGTAACAATCCTTGAAACTACTGGTTGGTACATTGGGATTTCCAATAAAAAGGGAAATATCTCTATCTCTATCTATCTATCTATCTACCTATGTAGGCAGGGTTTTTTTGACCAGTACTATTATGGGTTCCTCGAACCCAGGAATTCTCAGGGGTCTAAATCAACCCATACTGACAATACCAATGAGCCTGTAAAACTTGGCATATGCCCAGACCTCTCCTCTTCCTTGGCCTTCTGTCTGGCCTTCATACTCCCATTCTTGCTCACCTCCAATCCGTTCTCTACAGTTTAATGTTTTTAAAAGATCAAACTTCTAAAAATAAAAATCAAACTGGGTCACTGTCATACTGTGGAAACTATCCCATGGTGTTCCACTCCTAGGACAAATGCCTACAAGGCCGCAAGACCTGGGCCCTGCCTACCTGCCCAGCTTTACCATGCAGCCTGCCCACTCTGTGGTCCGTGAATGAGACATTTACGTGTACTAATTCACATTAATCCTCTCAACAGCCCTACAAAGTAGAAGTAGGCATGCTCTTCATCTTATGCTTCTGCCACAGGGACTCTGCACAAGTAGTTTGTTTTGCCTGCAATTTCTAGCCCTACTCTTCACCCAGTTTTACTTAATCAAGTCCTATCAACTTCAGATGTGAACTCAAAGGTTACTTTCTCGGGACAGCCCTTCCAGTTACCCATCCCAAAGACTAGTTCAGGTTTAACTGTCATATATTCCCATTAGCTTGTCCTTCGTAGGAACCTCCCTTGACACTGTGCATTCAGTAGTTTTTATTAATGTCTGTTTTCCTCACTAGACTGTAAGCTCCATGAGATCTAGCACCACATCTGCCTATTTTCCTTTCTCCTACATTCTAGCACTGAATCCAGGCCCACGGAATCACTCAGATTTCCTTAGGTCCTAAAGGAGAAGGGAGGTTTTGCAACAGAGAACCTTGCCTTCCAGGTGGCAATCTTAGGAAGCTTTACTGCACATAGCCCTGGGGCTCTCATACCTGCCAGCCATTGCTTTGTAGTAAGCAAAGATCTGGTCCGCCAGCTTGTAGACAAACTGATCAAAACACAGGTTCACCTGGTGAAGAAGAAGCAGGAAATGTCAATGGTGTCTGTCCGGCTTTATTAGAGAAATTTCAGCAACTGAAGGGGGCAGTGGTGCAGGACTGCCTGAAGTGTGAGGTGAAGCAAGATGCTTTGCAGGAAAAAAAAAAAAGAAGATTCTGTGGCCAACTAAGTTTGAGAAGTCTGGTCTCTTGCTCTCAAGGTCCTCAACCAGGCACAAAGAAAGCAAAATTCAAAAAGCTGTTGAGGAACCACTGTCCCCACTGGTCCCCTCCTGGCTGTTACAAGGTGCCTACCCAGGGGGACGCCAGATAGGGCTTCACATCCTGTAATTATACATATCAGTCCCCTCATCTCTCCCAATAGAATTTCTTGTCTTTTCCTTTTATTTTACTTTACCTTGCTTTGCAAATGAAGAAGTTGATGGTCATTAAAAATTTAAAAACCTTTTTAAAACCAGTTTGCTTAAAAATCTTTGGTTTTTAATGAATAAGAGACCGTCTTGCCTTTTCAGTGTTTCATCATGTCAGTGGCAGAATGTGATGCTGAGGTGAGAAGAAAGTTCACAGCAGACATAGAGGATCGAAAGCAAATCCTCCAATGATGGCAAGAGCAGGGAACGGCCAAAGGTGGGGCGTTAAAGAGATGGGCTCTGATAGTAGCAGGGTAACAGTATAAATTCAAAGGAAATAGACTGTATTTAGGTGATTAATCTTCAATCCTTTTTGCACCAAACTCCCAGTTCCATAAGGTTAACTCTTTATTCAAAGAGCTTTCATATCTTTTATTTTACACACTAAATGTTATTCTGAACATAAAAACACAGTGCTGTGTGCAGTATTGTCCTCACATGCACGTAACCAAGGCCTCTGCCCTGGAGTCTGAGCTTCAAGGATCCCTAAGGGGGCCTCCTTCAGGCAAAGGACCCGTAGGATCCAGGGTGGGGTGCCCAACTCATGCCCCCCTTCTATACCCAGCTTTGAATATTCTTGCCCAAAGAGCCCAAGTCCCTTCCAGGCCCTGTGTGTTCTTTTCCCTGGGCTCTTCCCTGAGAGAGCACTGTACTGCAGGTGTGTGTACCCCTAGGGCCTGGGGTTGGCCAAGGGGCACAGGAGGGAGACAAAGCTTGGGTATCCACACATAGGCCCTTCCTGGTTCAGAACAGAGTCTGAAGATGGGAAGAGAAAGGGGGGCAGGCCATGAGCTCGGGGTCTCAATCTATACTTCTGCTCCATGGCCTCCAGTGTTATCCAGGGCTTATCTGTGTGCTTTCTTTACTTTTTTTTTTTTTTTTTTTTTTTTTTTGCGGTACGCGGCCCTCTCACTGCTGTGGCCTCTCCCGTTGCAGAGCACAGGCTGCGGACGCGCAGGCTCAGTGGCCATGGCTCACGGGCCCAGCTGCTCCGCGGCATGTGGGATCCTCCCGGACCGGGGCGTGAACCCGTGTCCCCTGCATCGGCAGGCGGACTCTCAACCACTGCGCCACCAGGGAAGCCCCTACATTTATTTTTAAAATGTCACTTGGACATATGACACTCTAGAATTTTTGTTTTCAACCTGTTGGAGAACATGACTATCTAAAATCTTATTGGAAAATGGACCTGTCCAAGCTGTGATGCAACCAATTAACTTGTCTACTGGAATCTTCCTTTCCAAGTTTGTGTACTGCTCAGGAGACAAACAGGATAGACTTGCATTGGGGTCCATCAAGGTTTTCAACTCCCATAGCAACTGGAAGATTTAGAAAGAAAGCAGCATCTGTACTAGATTTTCTTTGAAATACATAAACTTTCAAACGAATTTGGTGGTAATGCTTGTCCTAAGACACTTACATCTTTCCTTTATAAATAAGAATGCCTTATATTTGTGTGAAAATTGGCCTCATTCTACGTTTATATAATCCCATGTACTTAGGTGGAGCAGAGACTCTCATTCCAATTTCCAGATGACACAATTGAGATATTTCATAGTCCTTAGCACTGCTGATCCCCTGTTTCTGGTCCTTGCTGGCCCGTGGTAGGGCTGCACTTCCTCGCTCCTCTTTGAAAGGAGACACTGCCATGAGACTTGCTTTGACCAATGACATGTGTCACTTCCAGGTGGAAGCTTTAAGTATCAGAGTATGATTCACCCTGACACATCCCCCTGCCATGGCAACTAGTGAATATCCCAGATGGGTCCCAGATTAAAGACTACATAGAACAGAGCCTCCCGCCAACATGCAATGGAGAAATGAACCTTTGGTCCCAAGCTACTAAGAATGTGTGATTGTCTGTAACTGCAGCATATCCCAGCCTTTCCTGACGATTTCAGAAATAAAGCCCTTGAGCGACCATTCAACAGCTTCATAGGTGAGAGGATGGCTATTTCCATGCTACCAGTACTAGAATGAGACTCTATAAGCTGTGTGATGTGGAGGTAATGATACTTGAACACTCTAAGATTTATTATCTGTAAAATAGACAGTAGCATACACTTCTTAAATTACTGTAAAGACTATTTAAAATGTCCATAAAGTGCTTAGTACTATACCTGGCAAATGGTAAACATATAATAATTGATAGGTAGCATTACTGTTATTATTATTAGCCAATTAATCCAACTGTAAAAGACCCATTAGAAATTCATTTTACCCATACAGTTCTCAAGTTTGCCATCCCTGAACATCTGAAAAAGAAAGACTAACATCCTGTTCTAGGTCCCTTCTGATGATAATGATGTTTATAAAGGTCAGTGTCCAAAGCAAGTCACTGATCTCCCATGCTATGGTCTGAATGTTTGTGTCCCCCCAAAATTCATGTGTTGAAATCCTAACCCCCAAAGGTGATGGAATTAGGAGGTGGGGCCTTTGGGAGGTGATGAGGTCACGAGGATGGAGCCTTTATGAATGAGGTCAGTGCTCTTATAAAAGAGACCCAGAGAGCTCCCTGGCCCCGTCCACCATATAAGGACATGGCAAGAAGTCTGGGACCCAGAAGAGGGCCCTCCCCTGACCAGGTTGGCAACCTGATCTCAGACTTCTAGCCTCCAGAACTGTGAGAAATACATTCCTGTTGTTTATAGGCCCCGCAGTCTGTGGTATTTCATTACAGCAGCCCAAATGGACTAAGACACCCCACTCTGTGCCCAGCTAGAGACCTGAGAAGTCCAGGCTCTTGGAACACGATTATAAGAACAAAGGGAGAAGCAATGACTTGCCTCAGCTTCGATCTCATCGTACAGGAACTGCTTTTTAAACTTAGTCAGAGCATAGTAGGCGCTGTCGTTGTACAGATCCAAAGGGTAGAGGACGTATCTGAAGAGGGAAAAACAACGGCCAGGAGCTCACTAATGATCTCTCTTAAGGCAGGCAGATTTAAACTTGCTTAGGAAATATGAACAGCTGGGTGAACAAATTCAGAGTTAGGAAAAAGAGACCCTTTCAGGGTCTAGGATGTTTCCAGCCTCCACTTAGGAATGACTTACTTTACTGTCTGCCCACAGAAAGCAAAGTCCATGATGTTAATAAATGCAAGGCCTGAAAAAAATTAGTCTGGGACTAAAAGAAATCTGGTGGCCGTTAAGGCCATTAGCTTCCCTATCCCCAGAGATGATAATTTTCCCAGCGTGGCTGTTATGAACCTAGGAAGGACAGCTGGGCTGGTAGGTTTCTGAACTTTTCTGCAAGGCTGAGTCTCATCTGGTGGTGATTTGATCCTGGGTGGGGCACACTGCCTCATCTGGAAAGTTCTGGAAAGAACAGGGCTCGCTGGCTGGCAAACTGCCCTCTACCTGCACCTCGGGAACCTCCTTGCTGGCCCAACCCTGCCTCTTACTCCATCATAGAAGGTTCTTTGGTTTCCAGGATATGGTCTGTTAGAATCCAGGGCATGGACATCTCAATAGGGAACTGGATTCGCCGGCCCATGGTTAACTCCAGGAAGAATTCTCGGAACCAGAGCTGGGAGAGGTCGCAACACTGCTGCAGGGCTTCTGGAAGCATAAGGGAGACAGCCTTGGGTTACACATCAGAAGCACCCGAAGATCTTAGTTCTTACTGGGTTTTTTTAAACTTTTATTCTTCTTTCATTGTGTTAGGTTCAGAGCAGGTACTGACGAAAATGACTCGATCAGTAGACCCTGCTCTCCTGTACCTGAAGGCCAGCCTAACGTCTATTTAGAAGACAGTGTTTGGGGAATTCCCTGGTGGTCCAGTGGTTAGGATCCCATGCTTTCATTGCCAAGGGCGTGGGTTCAATCCCTGGTCAGAGAACTAAGATCCCGCAAGCTGTGCAGTGTGGCCAAAAAAAAAAAAAATAGAAGACAATGTTTGTTCACCCAGCATGTGTGTGTGTGTGTGTGTGTGTGTGTGTGTGTGTGTGTGTGTGTGTGTGTGTGTGTGGTGGGGGGGCAGTGATGTTTTAGAGCTTTAGATGCCCCTACAATTTCCATCGTGTCCTTACAAAGCCATCCTGAAAACATGCTAGCTAAGTGTCAAAGTGTGCTTGCTATAAGTGTCAAGACAGATCCACGGGTGCCCGCTTTTAACTGGACTGCAGCCATGACCCTTGCTTGTGATAATTATGGATCCCTTACAGAGGTCTTGAAGACCCTTCCTAGGCTGCTCCCTATGGAGAAGTTTGGGCTGTTTAAGATCACTCTTTTCAATACCAACAGACACATCACCCCTCCCAGGACCCTGGGATGCTGCTCTCCCTCCACTCCCCACCCCTGTCCCACCTGCACATGCATCCCACCAACAGGAGAGGTGGAGTGGGGGACTTGGGATCCAGGTGCAGTCCGGGAGCCTCCTTTGCTAGGAGCAACGGGCACTAATCAGCTCAGCGCTGCTGCTTAAAAACAAAAGGCTGACCTGGTCTCTGCGTGTGTCTGAGGGTGTCACCTGTTTGTGATCCCGCTTTACTGGGAACTTCATAACAAATTAGCTACAAATATCTACCAGATTTAGCTGAGTCAGAATAGCTGGACTGAGCCTGGCCTTTCCCAGAGTCTACTGGAAAGTGTGCCTTTTTTCTTTGGTGGCAAAATGTGCCCCTTTGGGTAGATGATCACGTCTCTTTGCAACTTCTGGCCCGACAGCCTTAGACGCTCTAGTCCCTAGGAGCCCTCCCCCTGCCCCCAACAGGGTGGCTCACCACTGATGTTGAGCAGGTGGGTGAAGAAGAAGGACTGCTTGTGGAAGTCCTCTATGGCGAGGACGATGGGTCCATCCAGGCTGCTCCGCAGAGTCTTCTTGGAGCCACTTTTGTCTGCGATGAGCGATTCAAGCATGGTCCGCACCATGTACAGCTTGAAAAAGAAAGGAAGATGGGAAGGTCAGGGGCTGGCCCTACATCCAGGGGAAAAGGTTGCTTTGTGCTGTGTTTCTATTCTTTTTTTCTGAAGATATCTGCCCTTAAAAAGCACTGTCTTAAGGAAGCACCAGTTTAGGGTTGGAGAAGTAAATTTGGAATGTGTAACCTTCAAGAGGGAGACTGGCCAGCCTGGCAGGATGTTCTGCCTGGGGCCGGCGGCCTCCCGGGTGGGAGGACCTGGTAATACCAGGTCTTTCAAGGCCCAGGGTCCTGCCTGCTCTGCTTGGCCCAGGGCGTGGGCATCAGAGGAGAACCTCATTCCACGTCACCCTGGAGTCGCTCCCTGCTTTACTGGACAGCCACGGTGGCACCAGGGGTAGAGCACTGGACTCAGAGTCAAAAGAATGGGGTTCAAGGCTAGGTACGCCCCTGACTTGCTGTGTGACCTTGGGCAACAAAGTCCCACTCTGGGCCTCAGTTATCTTATCTGCTAACGTGAGGAGGTTGCACCAGATGCTTTCTCCAACCAGTCCCTTTCAGCTCTGACATTCCAAGGAACTGTGAAATGGGGTAGGATCAGAGCAAGCCCCCCACCACCTCAGGTTTCCGACCCTCAACACCGAGGGACAGCGTCTCTGCAGGTATCAGCTGCATGGTACAGCTTGCCGAAATGCTGGGTGGATAGCAGGTGAAGATCGGTACTTACACAGGAGGCCTACTAGACAATTAACTCCTGCTTACAGAGAGCCTTAAGTGCAAAGGGCGCAAGTGCTAATCTACATCTTTCCACATCATGTGTCTTTGAATCTTAGGGCTGGAAGGGGCCGTGAACAGCCAGGCTAGTCCATTCCTGCTGCCTCCTGGAGAAGGGTACCCAACCAACCCAGCCAGGCGGTGTTATACCAGGGATCGGCAGCCTCTTCGGCCCTGTGTGCCACCAGTGGGGTGAAACAAAGCCCGCGGGGACCACTGGCAGGCCTAAGACATAGATAGGAGAGAGGAGGAGGGAATGGGAGGGCAGGAGAGACAGGGAAGAGGGAGAGAGAGAAGAGAGAGAGAGAGAGAGAAAAGCAAGAGGTATTGTATACGGTGGGAAAGCCGCCACGACTGCTAGAGGCCATCTGCCGACCACCTCTGAGATGCTCCAACCTCCCTCTGCCACCACGTCCATGCTGGCCGCCTCTGATCTTCTCTAGGACCACACCCACCACACGCCTGGCCTGGGCTGGGCAGCACGGCCACAGAAAGGAGTGGCACGCCATCCCTGGCACAGCACTTTCCTTTGTGGTGAAGGAACTATGGGGCTGCTGGTTTATCAGGCAGCCCACCCTCTGCAACCCTGTCGGTGGGCACGGCTGACCATCCCTAAGACTCGAGAGGCACTGCTCTAATGATGGCCTTTGGAGGCCTCCAAGAGAGGAGTCTTCAATCCAGTCTGTGCGGGTGTCGACTGATTTGTACCAAATTCTAACTATTTGAAAAACCATTTCATCCCTAAGAGGGGAAACGTTTTCCCCACCTACTTTTATTAAACAAAGCATTTAATTCACCAGAACAGTCACCTCCCAGCTCTGCCAGATGCCATGTCTACTGTGCTCCCAAGGCCCTAACAGAGCCCCAGGGTGGGAGTCAGGAGACCTGGTTCTCGTCCCACCTCCATCTAAACTCACCTTGTGACTTGGACAAGTCACTTCCCCTCTCTGGACCTCAGTTTCCCCATCTGCAAAATAGGGGGAGGAACTAGTTTGCGACTAGTTTGTCTCTAAGGGCTCTTCCAAGCTGACTGTCTAGGAGTCTATCAAGTGTGTCTGTGCCACCCTAACATGACTTGGGGGAGTCGGGGGGGCCTAACTGTTGGTGACACTCCTTCTCATATTATCTTTATAAATGCTCCGTTCTCCCTCCCTGCCCCCCACCCCTCTCTCATTCTCTGCCTGTTGGCCCCCTTTTGCGACCTCCTCCTTTCCAGTTTCTCTTTTGCCTCGCCTGGAAGCAACACCCAGAAGCCCTGCTCAGCCCCTCCAAGCCATTCTGTACTGGAAAGGTCTCTGCCCTTGGCATGACACAGAACCATCTGTAGAAGCTTCCTTGAGAAGTTCCATGTCTCTCGAGCAGGCAAGAAAAGTGCAAAGGGGTCTGTGAGCTGCGGGCCAAGGGAAGCTACGATGCCAGTGCTGAGAACCCAGCTCTCCCGGGTGCTGCCTCCTTGCCCCCACCCCGTGCCCAGACACAGACACACATACAGTGAGAAGCGTCAGGGGTGGGCCTCAGATGGCTCATCTCAGATGATTCAAGGAATCAGGATTTCAGAGATGAGAGAGGTTTAAAGGTCATGTGAAGCAGGAGTTCCCAGCCTGGGGCTCTGGGGGCCTGTAAGACCTTTAAAAGCTATAATGGGTCCATATGCTTTTTCTCAATAGCTCAAAAAGCCTACCAGAAACTATTTATCCTTAAGTAGGGGGCAAGGATTTAACTGAGATGCCTAGGTTCTTTACTTTTTTTTCTGTAATTCTACCGACTACTTTGGATAAGCCACAGACAACCTCTCGTTGTTGAAAAAGCTCCGGCTGGCAACTCTGAATATCTCTGATTATTAGACTTTCTCTAAGTGGTTGAGGGCTTTGGATACTTGCGATTTTGGTGGCGGGGGGTACGGGGAATAACAAAAGCGGTGTTTTGTCAGTAACGTGATCTCATCCAAAGTTTTCATTTAACGGAGAAGATAACCAGAGCTCAGAGAGGTCAAGGCACTTGCCCAAGATCCCGCAGCAAGTGAGAGGCAGAACTTAGGAATTCCCAAGCTAGGACATCACTACAGGGGAAGCGGGGGTCAGCGTTCATTAAACAGGGACAGGATAGATGCATACAGATTTCACTTTAAACTTCTCCTATACTTTGGAACCTGTACTTCACAGGGCTAGGACAGCCAGTCCTGGTATTACCCCCATTTGCCAGATTAGACAACTGAGGCACAAAGAGATCTGTGTAACGTGCCCGAGGTCACACAGGTATCTAGGACTAGAATCCAGGTCTCCTGAATCTTAAGTCAGTGGTCCTCCCTCTTATATCAAAACAAGATGGCAGAATAAGACTAGAGCAGCCGCTTGACCCTGCCCCTCCTGCCTGAGGACCCCCAGCCCCACTGCCCCATGGTCTAGCCAGGATGACCTACCATAGCCTGGCTGGCCTCTGAGTCAGCAGAGCTGGGCTGTGCCTGGAACTGCTTACCTGTGTGCTGGAGGGTCCCACGGCGCGCCGGGGCACCTTGATATCAAATCCACCTTTGGGGTCCTTCTCCCCTCTCAAGCACGGGTCATTGGGGGGCTCTCGGCCTCCCTCCCAGTCACAGATGGTTTTCCGAATTGCCTGTAGGACACTGGGGAAGGAAGAACCTGGATTCAGACCAGCTGGAAAGAGGCACTGCAAGCCTGTTTCTAGAGGCCATGGTGTTCCAGGACCACGTGCCTTAGAACTCCTGGCATGCTTGTGAAACATGCTCACTCCAGGGCCCCATCCCCAGGGATGCTGGCTTAACAGATTTGAGGTGCAGCCCGGACGTCTGCATTTTACAAGTGCCCCGGTGATTCTGAGGCCCACTGGCTGTCTGAGAACTCAGCTCCGAGGCCACACAGTGGGAGAGAACCTGACTGAAGGCTGGCTAGTTTTCTTTTTGCTTTTAGGACAGTTTCATTAGTCCATTTAAATCTCTGTATATTTAAAACTTGAATAATAGCTTATATGTGTTGCACATTTACTCCATGCTGCTGTGTGCTTAGGTCTATACACGGATTATCTCATTTCATCGTCCCAACAGCCTAGGGAGTAGGTACCATCATCATCCACAGTTTACAAATGAGGGAAACTGAGGTGTAGAGAAGGTAAGTAACATGACTAAGTTCACACAGCTAGACAGTGGTGGATATGGGCTCCAAACCCAGAGATGGAGGCTTAATTCATCCCAAATGTCCAATCTCCTGAAAGGGCCTCATAGGACTTGCTGGAACTCACTGGAAGGTCCGTTTGTGTTCACACACTTCCCTGGAAGCTGACTGATCTGGGAACGTCCTCTGTGGCCTGCACCCAGCACCCCCGATTTTGGATGTGCCCCCTGAAAAAGGCCATCTGAAGACCCACCTGATGAGGACATTCTTCTTCTTCCGCACTGCCTGCCTGAGGGGTTCACGCAGGGTCACCTGGGCAAAGTCCTGCAGGGCTGCGTAGATGGTGTTCCTGATGGCCTGGTTGAAGACGCTCTCCATCCTGCCCATGAGCACCTGTAGGCCTTTGATCATGGCGATCACCTGGCCAGGCACAGATCGAGGTCAGGCTCACTGTGCCTTGGCATACCCGTCTGTCCGGTACCCTCACCACATCTCCGGGGGGGTGCTGGAGGAGACATCCTGAAGCACGAGGCCAGCGAGTGCTACTCAGAGTGTCAGTTCACGGCTGGGTGGAAACGTGTGCCAGAAGAGAAATCAGCACTCCGCTTCCCTTATCAAGGAAGCGCTGCTACAAAGCAAAGATGTCAGCCACACGCTGTGCGTGTGCTTCACCATCAGCTGATTTTTATTCTGGCACCAGCCCCCCATCTTGCCGCTGACTGGTGACAATTGGCAGCTGGTCCATGGACCATGTTTTGAGTAGCACTCTGACTTTGAGAGGTCTCTCCACATCCCATGTACCCACAGACAATATCAAATAGAACTTCTTTCTATAGCATTTTTACAATCTTTGCTTTTGAAGTGATTTGGCCAGTTGCTGCTTGAGTCCATAAAATAGGATTCCTATAGAAGTCTTGTGAGGAAAGGCTTCTGCCCTTCTATTTACCTCCTCCCTAGCCCCTTAACTCACTTATCTGTCTGCAGAGGTGGGGAGACAGGTGACTAGGATGCGTGTAGCGTCACTTTGACCTTGGCGCTCACTTGGGATCTGTCTGCCTGTGGGGTGTGTCCTCTCCTCTGGGTGCCTGTCTTGTCCTTGCGGTAATCACCCCTCCCATCCCGAGGATGGGAGGTGTATATTTATGCAGCTGCTTTGCCTGTTTCCCAGTGGGAAGTTTCATGGGATGGGGGAGGAATAGGAAGCCTGGTGTGGCCTTGAGTGAAGTCACATTCTCTGGTCCAGCTTTACCAAACCTGATCCTTTGGCCCCCATCAGCCTCAAGTGCTAACTTCTAGATTAGCTCAGAATTCAGAGGGGAGGGAGATCAGCTCGGTGTTTTGTGACCACCTAGAGGGGTGGGATAGGGAGGGTGGGAGGGAGACGTTAAGAGGGAGGAGATATGGGGATATAAGTATACGTATAGCTGATTCACTTTGTTATAAAGCAGAAACTAACACACCATCGTAAAGTAATTATACACCAATAAAGACGTTAAAAAAAAAAAGAATTCAGAGGGGAAAGCCTTGTCAAATCAGCCTCCTGACAACTGCCACACTTGTCACACCCCTCATGACATGGTCGATTTCCTCCCTCTGCACCAGACTGTAAGCACTGCAGGGGTGAGGCTTGGCACGTTGTGTAGGCTCCATCCCTGGGGCCCGGGGCCCTGGTAGGCCCTCAAGAGATTTTTCTTGAAAAGCAATGAGTAAATGAATGAATGAGCTTAGATGCTAAGCCTTTATGTTCCTCCAAACTGTAAATGAAGAAATAGAACATTCGAGGCAGGAGAAATAGTGAGAATAGTTCAGAAGGTAAGAATTTTCACTAGAACCAACACTCTAATGGTTTTGCTGAAGAGAACCTTTATAGTGCAGAAATAATGAGAAGAGAAGATCTAAAGGAATGTTAATTCATAAAAGAATCTGGGGTCCTGGCTGGCAATGAAACCAGGAAACAAGGGACAAAGGAAGGACAAAATAGTGAAGATTTTTCAGAATAACTCCAAACACAGAAGAGTATGCAGATCTGTTAGAGCTAAGGGAAAATCTTTGCAACTTTGGGCTAGGCAGAGATTTCTTAGCTAGAACACAAAAAATCACAAACCACAGAATAATAAATAAGTTGAACTTCCTCAAAATTAAAAACAGGTGCTCTTTAGAAGGCACCCCCCCCCCAAAAAAAAAGAAAAGACAAAGTCACCGATTAGAAAAAATATTTGCAACGTATTTGTGAATAAGGACTTGTATCTAGAATATATATAGATTCTCACAATTTAATAGTAAGAAGATGGAAAGCTAATTGTAAAAAATGGGCAAAAGATTTCAATAGACAACACTTCACAAAGGAAGATGTATGAATAGCCAATAAGCACATGAAAAGATGCTCAATATCATTAATCTTCAGGGAAATGCAAATTGAAACCTCAGTGAGATGTACTAAATATCCATTAGAATGGCTAAGATTAATAAGACTGACAGCACAAGCGCTGTGAGGGTGTGTGCAACAGAACCCTCATATATAACTGGTGGGAATATAAAATGGTACACCCGCTTTGGAAAACTGTTTGGCAGTTTCTTAAAAAGTTAAACATACACCTCCAATATGACCATTCCAAGAGAAATAAAAACCTATGTCTACACAAACACTTATACTCAAATATTTAAAGCAACTTTGCTTACATTGGCCAAAAGCTGGAAATGGCCCAATGTTTATCAACAATTGAATAGATACACAAATTGTAGAATAGCCACACAATGGAAAAATACTCAGCAATGAAAGGAAACAAACTATTGATACAAAAAACAATGTGGATGAATCTCAAAATTATTATGCTGAGTGAAAAAGCCACACGCACAAAATACATACTATATGATTCCACTTAAATAAAATTCTAGAAATTGAAAACAAATCTATGGTGACAAAAAATGTGATTGTTTAGGGCCAAGGATGGAGGGAAGGATGGATTGCAAATGGCATACGAAGTCTTAAAGGGAGATGAAAGTGTTCTGCATCTTGTGTTTTTGGTTTCACAGGTGTATATACAACTGTCAAAAGTTTGTGAATTATCCATTTTAAATGGATGCAGCTTACCAAATGTAAATTATACCTTAGTAAAGCTCATTGAAAAAAACAATAATATTCTCGTGGAGATAGCACATTCATGACACAAGAGTTGGGTGTGATTAAAAAAAAAGAAACATTCAGAGAACAAGATGGAGCTTTTGGACATTTAAAATATTATAGGCAAAATAAAAAATACTAACAGAGTTGAAAATTGAAATTAAGGAAATATCCCATAAAGCAGAACAAAAATAAGTGATATGCAATAAGACAGAAAAGATAGGAAAATTAGACACTAACTACTGGGCATCCAACATCTGACAGATAGAAAACCCAGAAAGACAGATCAGAGAAAACAGAGAGGAGGAAATTATCAAAATTAAAATTTAAGAAAATTTCCCAGACCTACGGAACTTGTATTTCCACACTGCAATGGCCTATTTAGTGTCCCAAACAATGAATGCAAAAGGCCCTTATCATGATGCCTTACAGTGAAACTTCAGAAAAACTGTGATAAAGAGATGAGACTATAAGATTCTACAGATGAAAACGAAAGAATAAAGTTAGACTCACATTTCCTAATTTCAAAACTTACTACAAAGTTACAGTAATCAAAATGGTATGGTATTGGCATATAGAAAGACATATAGATCAATGAAAGAGATCTGAAAGCCCAGAAATAAACCCTTACATTTAGAGTCAATTGATTTTTGACAAGAGTACCAAGACAATTCAATGGAGAAAGAATACGCTTTCCAACAACTGGTGCTGGGACAACTGGACATCCGCATGCAAAAGAATGAAGTTGGACCCCTACTCACACCATATACAAAAGTTAACTCAAAATGACCAAAGACCTAAATGTAAGAATTGAAACTATAAAAATCTCAGAAGAAAACATAAGAGTAAATCTTTGAGAACTTGGATTAGGCAATGGTTTCTTAGATATGACACCAAAAGCACAAGTGACAACAGAAAAAATAAAAGGAACTTCATCAAAATTGAAAACTTTTGTGCTTCAAAGGATACCATATAGAAAGTAAAAAGACAATCCATGGAATGGAGGAAAATTTTTTCAAATTATATGTCTGATAAGGGACTTGTATCCAGAATATATAAAAACTCTTTCTTTTGGTGTTTGAATATTGATATATTTTTAAATATACCAGTTCTGGAAAACAAGATGCATAATAAAATTTTTTCCTCTTTTTCATTTTGGCTCATAAATTTGGCTGCATTTTAGAAAACAGTCCCTATTTTCCTGGTAACCATGGCAAATTAATTAGCTTTTTCTGATACAGAATATATAAAAACTCTTATACTTCAAAAATAAAAAGACAAATAACCTAAAATAAAATGGGCAAAGAATCTGAACAGACATTTCTCCAAAGAAGCTGTGCAGACGGCCAATAAGCACATGAAAAGGTGCTCAATATCATTAGTTATTAGGGATATGCAAGTCAAAACCACCATGAGAAACTACTTCACAACTAGGATGGCTAAAATAAAAAAGACCATAAGTGATGACAAGGATATGAAGAAATTGCAACTCTCGCACACTGCTGGTGAAAATGTAAAATGGTGCAGCTGCTTTGGAAAACAGTTTTTACAGTTCCTCAAATTTTTAAACGTAGAGTTACCACGTGACCCAGTAATTCTGCTTCTAGGTATATACTCAAGAGAATGAAACATATTTCCACACAAATACTTGTACACGAATGTATATATCAGCAAATTCATGATAGCCAAAAAGTTGAAACAACCCAAATTTGTGAATATATAAACAAATATGATATATTCATACAATGGAATATTATTCAATCATAAAGGAATGAAGTACTGATATATACTAGAACATGGATGAACCCTGAAAACATCATGCTAAGTGAAAGAAGCCAGTCACAAAGGATCACATATTATATGGCTCCATTTAAATATAATCTCCAGAAGAGGCAAAACTATGCAGACAGAAAGTAGATTAGTGGTTGCCAGAGGCTGGTGGGGAAAGGGATGAATGGCAAATGACCACTAATGGGTATGGGTTTTTTTGGGGGGATAACAAAAATGTTATAAAATTAGGCAGTGGTAATGGTTTCACAGCTCTGAATATACTAAAAATAAGTGTACACTTTAAAGGGTGAATTTTTTATATATAAATTATATCTCAATAAAGTGATTATTAAAAAATTACACAGAGGAAAAAATAACAAGGAAACAGGGATTAGACTAGAATCCAACTTTTCAGCGGCAACACTAAAAGCTAGAAAACAATGGAATAATACCTTCAAAATTCTGGGGAAAAATTATTTACAATTTAAAATTCTCTAGCCACTCACTATGAGTGAATTTAGAAGTAAAACATTTTCAGTTATTCAAGATCTCAGAAATATTTTCCCCCATAATCCCTTTCTTAGAAAGCTTTGGAGGATATACTCCACCAATATAAAGAGAGAGTCAGCCCTGGGGTCCAATACAGGAGACGGACAAAGGGAATCCCAGGGTAATGATGATGAGATATCTCAGATCAGTAACTGAACAACAGATCTAGAGACAAATCAGTTCAGATTGGAGAGAAGGAAAAGGGGCTTCAGCAGGAATGGCTCCAAGAAGAAAAAGAGTAATAAAATTCATAAAATAATGATTGTGATTAGCTCTTTCGTAGGAAGTTTTACATTGGTATGTTTGAGGGCTCCTTTTTGATTGGATCATAGAAAACTTATCAAACAAAAAGGCAAAAGCTGTGCCAGAAAAGAGATGTATTCATATTAGACCACATGACTCAGCAATGAACAGTTACTCAGTTTTAGTAATACAGAGCAACTATTAATTTAACCAAAAAGTGTTAAATTGCCACTTTGGGAAGATGCGAGAAAGAAATTGGGTGTATTGGGGGTGGGAATGGGAGGTAGAGATGAAAGAACTAAACTGTTTTCTCCCAAAGTAGGAAATCAATAGAAAATGCCATAAATTGAAAAACCAAGGAAGAGCCCCATCAGGCTGTTAGCGGAAGTACAGAGATAGATACCAGAAGAAATAGCTTGATGAGGTGAGAAGATATTTCCTATTTTGGGATTCAGGGAGGAGTGAGGTGGTGCAGGTTACTATAATATTTTTGCCTTGTGTTAGTGTTGTTTAATGCCACGTAAAATTACTTTTCTTTCTTTAAAATTTAATTTAATTAATTATTTTTATACAGCAGGTTCTTATTACTTATCTATTTTATACATATTAGTGTATATATGTCAATCCCAATCTCCCAATTCATCCCACCACCACCACCGCCCCCCGCAGAATTACTTTTCTTAAATTTATTTTTACATGGTTTACTAACAAAATAAAAATTATAAAACCTCTCAATGTAAAGTAAGGACTAGAAGGAAATACAGAAAATGCCACTGGTGGTTGCAGATGGATGATTTTCTGAGACTATGGGACGGTGAATGTAGGAGTGGGGTTGAGAGGAGCATTTTCTAAACTACCTATGGTGCCTACGCATTGCTTTTATTAAGGATAGAAAGGTATAAACAGTTTTACAAAGTAGTATGTCCTCTTTGACTGAAAGTCTCATTTTATATAAATAGGCTTGAGGAGGACTTTCTCGCCCAGTGATGACTGGGCAACTGTCTTCCAGGCTATTTGCAATGGAAGTGCCAGCAGGTCAGGACCACTCAGCTCAATGCCAAGTGTGATTACAATCTGTCTGGGGAGAGAGGAGAGACCCACACGACCAGCAGCGGGTGAACACACCAACCAAATGGGATGAGTCCACGCAACAGACTATCACTCAGTCATAAAAGGGAATGCAGGCTTCCCTGGTGGCGCAGTGGTTGAGAGTCCACCTGCCGATGCAGGGGACGCGGGTTCGTGCCCCGGTCCAGGAAGATCCCACATGCTGCACAGCGGCTGGGCCCATGAGCCATGGCCACTGAGCCTGTGTGTCCGGAGCCTGCGCTCCACAACGGGAGAGGCCACAGCAGTGAGAGGCCCGCGTACCGCAAAAAAAAAAAAAAAAAAAAAAGGGGAATGCAGTACTGATTTGTGCTACGATGGAGGGACCTTGAAAACATGAAGTAAAAGAAGCCAGACACAAAAACCACATATGATAAGATTCTACTTATAGGAAACAGCCAAAATAGGGAACTCCACAGAAACAGGAGACTGCTTAGGGCTACAGGGATAGGGAATAAGGGGTGAATGTACTGGTTTCTTTTTGAGGTGATGAAAATGTTCTAAATTTGACTGCAGCTGCCCAGCACTGACAATATACTAAAAATTAATGAATTTACATTTTAAACTTGCGGTACTCCTCATCCAACTTCTGGCTGTGCAGCCTGGAGCCCGTCACCACCTGGGGAACATCAGCTGTCACCCTCACTGTCGACGCACCTGGCACTTTTCTACCTTATTTCACTGACTCCCCCAAGAACACTGCAAGGGAGGTGCTATTATTATACCCCTTGACAGATAAACTGAGGCTCAGACAAATGCCTTGCTAAAGGCCACATGCCTTGTAATTGACTGAGGGTTCAAATTCAGGTGGTGTGACGCCAGGGGCCCACTCACAACGACCCTGGTTGACTGCAGCACAGCAGCTTTCAGACTTTTGGGTCTGTGATTTACAGTAGGAATTGTATACTGTCTACTAACTCAGGAACACGTACCTGCCTGAAATGACCCCACTGAGCCTCAGTTCTTTAAAGTACAGCCTGGAGATCAGCTAAAGAGCAACTCTAACCCCTAATGTGTATGACGCTTTATAGCCTTCACTGCTCATCTACATCATTATCTCCGGTAATTACTCTTTGATTTTCAACAATAATGCTGGGATGGAAGTGGGTAAAGATAATCAGCTCCATCTTATAGATAAAGAGGCTGAGGCTCAGAGAGATGAAGGGTCCGGGGGCAGCATCCAAGTCTCTGACTTCTAGGCTTCAGAGAGTCATGAAAGAGGAAGCTGTCACTCATAACCCAGCAAGAATGAGCTCCGTCACCCTCACAGACATATCTTTTTGTAATCAGACAAACAAAAAAACCAAATCAGAAGGTTATAAAGCAGGAAGTAGAATCCTCCCTTTAGAAATTACTACTGTTAATGGTTTGGTATATATAAACATATACACTTATGTCCTTCCATTTTGAGCAAATGTGCAAAAGTATATTAATTTTGGTAGAAATGGCATCATTTTACATGCCGCCCTTTAACCTGTTTCTTTTTTAACTTAACAATATACTGTGTATATCTTTTCATGTCAGTACATCCATTTTAGTGGCTGCATAGTATTCAATGATATAGCTGTACCTTTATTTATTTTACTTGGTCCATATTGAAGGACATTTCTGCTGTTTCACATATTTTGGCATTATAAACAATACGGCAATAAATGTCCGTTATATATGTCTCGGCACAGTTGGCTTATTTCCCTGAGATATATATGTGCCAAACGGTATGCCCGTTAAAAATGTGAATACAGATGATCAGCTTGCCCTCATAGAAAGCCTGTAAAATGTGGACTGGCCACTCAAAGTATCTGAGAAGGTCTACATCCCACTTCAACCAGCAACAGACATCACCAATCTACTAGATCTTTACTATCCTGACTGGTCAGCATTCTATCTCATCTTAGTTTCGATCTGAAGTTCTCCAACCACTCCTCAGTCTGGGCATTTGTCATATCTCTTTTGGCCACGTGTTTGGTCCCTGCTGTTGGGTCTAATGGAGTGCCTCTTTCTTTGGGATTCTAAGAACAGAATGCGTTTCTCCATGCTTCTGAAAGAACAACTTGGGACAGAGATGAATTCGGGTGGGAGGAGGGGGCAGGGAAGTGCATGCACAGGAGGCCCATGGCTGCCGCCCGGCCCAGCACCCCTCCAGGAAGCCCTACAGCTGCTGACACGGAGCAGCCTCGGGGGTGGGGGACGAGGAGACGCAGGGAGTCAGCACCCACCTCGACGAAGGCAAACTTCTCCTCACTGGTGTAGTTGTAGCGGGTGGCTCGCTCATACTCCTCGGCCGTGCCCGGGCAGTCCTTGTTGCAGAACTTGTCCGTGGGGTGAACGAGCTTCCAGGAGTACTGGGGAGAGAGGAGAGACCCACGAGTCCATCAGCAGGTGAATGAATCAACCAAATGGGATGAGTCCACACAATGGACTATCATTCAGTCATAAAAGGCAATGCAGTACTGATCTGTGCTACAATGGAGGGACCTTGAACATGCGAAGTAAAAGAAACCAGACACAAAAACCACATATGATACGATTCTACTTATAGGAAACAACCAAAATAGGGAACTCCACAGAGACAGAAGGAGACTGCTTAGGGCTGCAGGGATAGGGAATAGCGGGTGATTGTACCGGGTCCTTCTTGAGGTGATGAAAATGTTCTAAATTTGACTGCGGCTGCCCAGCACTGGCAATATACTAAAAATTAACAAATTTACATTTTAAATGGGTGAATGGTGTGGTGTGTGAATTATATCTTGATAAAGCTGTTTAAAAAATAGAGTGCCAGAGAGAGGCAGGGGCAGACAGATTCCAAGTGAACAGAGTTCAGGATGGAGGGGGCCAGGAAGGGACAGACCCTCTGCCCCGGGACACCTACCACCTCCATGACGTGGGCGCTCCACTTGGACAAGAGCTGCAGGCCCCGCAGGGCCAGGTCAAAGAGTTCGCGGTACTCCTCGTCCGACTTCTGGCTGTCCAGCCCAGAGCCCGTCACCACCTGGGGAACATCAGCTGTCACCCTCACTGTCGACGCACCTGGCACTTTTCTACCTTATTTCACTGACTCCCCCAAGAACACTGCAAGGGAGGTGCTATTATTATACCCCTTGACAGATAAACTGAGGCTCAGACAAATGCCTTGCTAAAGGCCACATGCCTTGTAATTGACTGAGGGGTTCAAATTCAGATGGTGTGACGCCAGGGGCCCACTCACAACGACCCTGGTTGACTGCAGCACAGCACCTTTCAGACTTTTGGGTCTGCGATTTACAGTAGGAAATGCATACTGTATACTAACTCAGGAACACGTACCTACTTAGAGGTATTCAATATAGGCATGAACAGTTTTCACGAAGCAACTTTATGCTCAATACTTGAGATTTCCTCTGATTTTTTATTCCATTTCATAACAAAATGCTAATTAGAAAGCAACTAAATTGATTTCACAACTCAATTAGAAATGACTCACAGACTGAAAAGCACTGGTGAAGATAAACATCTATTTGAACATGTAATATTCCACCGTGAAATACTGTATGTGTGTATACTGTGCATATGCATAGATATATGTGTATATATGTGTATGTGTATATATATACATATAGAGCCAGTCCTCATTATTTGTGGATTCTGTATCTGTGAATTTCCCTATTCACTAAAATTTATCTGTAACCTCAAGATCAATCCTTGCAGTGCTTTCATGGTCAGTTTCAGACGTGTGCAGAGTGGGAAAAAATTTGAGTCATGTTCCCGGCTGAGGCTGAACAAGGCAACTCTCTGCTCTCTTGTTTCGGCTCCTACTGTACACAAGTGTCCCGTTCCTGGTCTATTTAGTGCCCCATTTTCCTCATTCTTATACTTTTTAATGGTGATTTCATTATTTTAAATGGCCCCCAAGCACAGTGCTGATGCTCTGTCTATGTCCCTATGAGAAAGGAGGCTGTGATGGGCATTATGGAGAAAATATGTATTTTAGATAAGCTTTGCTCAGGCATGAATTATAGTGTTGTTGGCTGTGATTTAACGCTAACAAATCAACAATATATATTACATAAGGCGTCTTTAAGCAGAAGCGCATGTAAAATAAGGTTATATATTAAAAACCAGCTGATGGAAACACTGTGATCGGAAGCTCACAGGAACCTACCCCTGTATTTTCTCAAAGAGTGATGGTTCAGTACTTGCTGATTTAGTGTTGACGGCCACTGTATAGAATATAACTGCTGTGAATACTGAGAGTGGTCTGTACATACACATGTATAAGCTGTATAATTCTAAAAATAGCTTTGAGCCAGACTCATTCTTAGATCATACCAAAACTGGACAAGGAATGAAGGGATCCCCAGCACTTAAATTATTCCCATAGCTTATGTTCAGTTCATTGTCACATACAGTTAAGAAAGTCAAAGGTTTGGGCTTGACCCTGGTCCATGTCCACCAGAAGCCCTCTTGAGAATGTGGGCCACTCATCTAATGACCACACCACCTGCATTTATCTGGCTGTTCTCATTTCAAATATGATGCCCTTGGATCAAACACATTTCCCTAGTTTGGGTTTTGGAAAGCGTAACTATGGCCATCGGCCACATGGTGGAGCCAGTGGGCATATGCGTGGTAGTGCAGAGTCTTCCAGGAGCTCCAGGTACTAAGGGAATTCAAATCTGGAGACCTATATTTATTAAACCAACATATATATTCATTAGAAGGGTTTATACAGAAAGAGATCCAGAAGGATATATATATCCAAATGTTAATCATAGTTGGTTCTGGGTGGAAGGATTTTACATGATTGATTTTCCCTCCTTCTGCCTATCTGTATTTTTCCTGAGGTTTGTGCACTGATCATGCTTCCCTACCAAAAAAAAAAAAAAAAAGGAAGAAAAGAAAAATCCAGTGCCACTAAAAATGTAATTAGTGGGACCACAGGAGATTTTTATGACCTTATTTTGCTGCTAACTGTATTTTCTGGCCTATTACAATGATTATTTATAATTGTAATTTAAAAATATTTAGATGGTGTTATCACCATGATTGTTCAGAACTTTGTTTCTCTTGCCATCCAGGATGGAGGTGGTTTAGATCATGCACAGACTAACAATTACTGGGCTGTTACTAGCTGCTAGGCACAATGCATTTTCCATGCATCATACTGTTTAATCCTCTCAATGAACCTTTCCAGATACTATTAGCTCCATTTTGCAGATGAGGAAACTGAGGCTCAGGGATGTTGAATAACTTGTGAAGGTCAGCAGCAGAACCAGAATCACACCCAGTTCCATATGGCTCTAAAATCCATGCCACTAGTGTGTATTCCCTTACTCCTCCACTCTCCATGATCTCACCTCTTTTCTGGCCGGTCCTCACCCCTCCCCACCCTGGGCCCACACGGGCCTCCATCCCAGCAGCCAGAGCGAGCTCACCTCACTGTTGCTGTAGCGAGCGAGTTCGGAGATAAAGCGGATGTGGTCATCCCGGATCTGAACCATCTGCTCACAGATATTGTACTGGGGGCTGATGCTGCTCTGGGTGCACGTCCACCTGGGCAGAAAATCAGGGGGGTCAGAGTGGGTCCTGGCCTTAGGCACCTGGGTGGGGCAGGCTCCTTCCATTCACTAGTTGCTCCTGGTGCTTGGCCAACGTGGCCGGCTCCCCTGGGTGGACCAAGAGGTGTCCCAGCTACCAGCAAGAGTGCCTGCTAAATCCCGCTGTGGGGACTGCAGGCTGAACGGAACAGCCTTTTCTCCTCCTGCTTGGGGCTGGCCTCCTCTAAGACCCAATTGCAGGCTTTTCCAGATAACGGGTGTCCACAGTACTTACCAGTCACGTGAACGGGGAGGGACTTGCAGCCTCTCTAGGGCTGCAAAGGACTGGAATCCAAGCAAAGAAAAAGCAAGGTGGGCGACCTCCCAAACCCATCTACTGACCCCGGCAGCACTACGTCCTGTGGTTGAAGCTGTCGTTGGAGGGGGCCTATGGGGGGGACTGGGGAAAACTAAAGGGATTGTGCCTCTTTTTCAACAGCGAGCTGGCAACACAGAAGCTCTCTATGGAGAGGAAAACCACAGCCATTCTGAAAGTCTCTCTTTCTCATCTTCTCCCCCTTCCTCTCTTCTTTCTCCTCAACTCTTTCCTCAACTTTTTTGAAAGAGATCTTTGGGAGAACATCCTAAATTGGGGAGGAAATGAATGAATAAGAATCTTCACTCTCCTTCCCCAAGAGAAAAAAAGACAACCCCGTTCACTGTCCTCCGCCATCCGGTGCCGGGTGACCCAGTGGACACATTAGCATGGACACCAAACAAAGCAGATATGCGCTGTAGAGAGAATTTACTATTTCAAAAGGAGCTCTGAAAGGGCGCTCCAGAGAATACTCAGAATGGTGGCAGACTTCCTCATGCCTATACTTTGGCATGACTTTCCTTTTGAGGTCCTTGTGTAGGGATGGGGACACCATCACTTGAACCTCAGGTGGCCGAGAATTCACGCAGGGAAAAGTGAAGAAATGAGTTCAGCATTCGGGACTCCATGCTTTTCCTGAAAGACCTCCTCATACACCGGCAGCCACTGGGTTATGAAAAGACTTAAACCAGCTTTCCCTGGCAAGACTCACCTGCTGTGGCTCAAAGCTGGTGGAGTTCAAGGACACTCCATTTACATACTTTTAAGGCCCTAATACCCTCACCCCTGACTAAAGGATGGTCGGCCCCACTCTGTATGGAAATGCAGGCAGAAACCTCCTTAACAAGGCCAGAGATAAAAGGGGTGGCCAAGACTGTAGCCGAATGTCCCCCAACTTCCATGAGGCGCTGACACCCCAGATCTTAGCTCAGATCACCTAGAGTGGTGGTTTATAAAACAACATAAGGAGAGGTCGTCAACCCGCTTCACAGTTGGAACCGTCACGGCATACTTACTGCATGGACACAAAACCTGAAGAGAGAACCAGTGTGATGAAGAACAAGGCCATCTCGCTCTGCCTGACCACTGAGGGCTGGTCACTCCTCCCCCTTCGCAGGGGAAGGAGGACTCCTGCCGTTCCCCTGCAGGCGGTGTGGGCCACCACAGGAACAGAGAAGGGGCGGGGCTGTGCTCTGAGCACTTTTGAGCCCTGGCAGCAAAGGGCAGGTGCAAAAGGGCTCAGAGCACCATCCACTGCTCCCCTCTGCCAGGCGCCAGTGATTGGACAGAATCCACCTGCCCAGGGCTCTGGGGAGGGGGGAGGGGCTGAAGTGGCCCCTCAGCCCCCTGCCCGGGCTGGGCATCCTCGGGGGAGCCGAGAGACATTACGGCAGGCACTCACTTGGACTTGTTCTCTTCATAGTGAGCACTGGTCTTAATGTATCTGGCCAGCTCTATCTGCATGTCGCCGAAAAGGGGCACCACCTGCAGCTGCTGCAAAGGAAGCAAATACAGTGCGTGAGACACGGAGGGAGGGGCCAGGTGGCTGCCTTCCGCCGGGGGAGACAGGCCTCCGTGTGTGCCTCTGGGATGACCCCCAGTTTCTGCTTCCAAAGATGCTACTATGTGACCCTGGAACCACAAAGAGCCCCAGCCAGAGTAGAGGTCCTCCCATGCCTCCAACCATCCCTATGTTCCAGCAACTGAGCCCAGAGAGGCAAAGTGACTTGTCTAAGGTTACCCAGCAGGCAGAACAGATGAAGAATGAGGACCAGATGGTCTGCCTCCCAGGGCAGGGTCTTTTCTGCTCTAATTTTCCTTGGATTCGAGGTTCCTCGCTGCTTTGAGCTCTGCGAGTGGGTGCCCAGATGCCACTGGCTGAGCATGACCTTCTTGAGAAACTCCACAACGTGAAGTGATTGAAACCTTTAACACCTAACACCAAAGGGCAGACGATTCCCATCCGAAGACCAGGAGTAATGGCGAGGAGGCTGGTATTTTCTGTCTGCTTCTTAGGCACTAGGCACTGTGCCAAGCCCTTCAAAACCAGAGGGTTTCTAGGGCAGTGAAACTATTCTGTATGATACCATAATGGTGGATATAGATCATTATACATTTGTCAAAACTTACAGAACGCACAATGCCAAGAGTTACCCCTACTGCAAACCATGGACTTTGGGTGATAATGATGTGCCAACAATGTAGGTTCATGGACTATAACAAATGTACCCCTCTGTTGGGGAGTTTTGACAATGGGGGAGGTTGTGTATGAGTGGAGGCAGGGAGTATATGGGAAATCCCTGTTCATTCTGCTCAATTTTGCTGTGAACCTAAAACTGCCCTAAAAAATAGTCTATTAAGCAAATCAGAAAACAGTATTTCAATCCACAGAATAACTGGGTGAGGTCAGTACTAGTATCGTTCCCATTTAACAGATGGACAAACTGAAGCTTTGACAGCTGAAGTGATTGTTTTCAATCACTCCTAGAAGCTAAGGAGCTGGGATTATAACCCAGGGCTTTGACTGACCTATGTGATCCCACTGAATCCTCAAGGGAACCCTATAAAGTAGATACCCTTAGCATTGCTGTTTTTCAAGCCAGGGAACTCAGTTTCAGAGAAGTTCTGTGACTTTCCCAAAGTCACCCAGCTATGAAGTGGCAGAGCGAGACTAAAACCCAGGTCTTTGTGAGGCGAGATTGTGGTCTTCCACTCCACCCCCACCTCATTCATGCGGATTTAAGGCAGAGGCAGATTTGGCCCGTTCTCCCAAGATGAGCTCTTTTTTCACTTTGGGCAGCTCCAGAGAAAAGTGAAAGTTTCAGCTTCAAAAAGAAGCCAAGCCAAGCCACAGCATGCCTTTTGGTGACTTATTTCCCTCTTAACCTCCAAGAGTCGGTGGGACCCAGGCTTGGCCACACCTTTGAGGGATTCCACTTTTAACTGAAGCCTGGTTTTCCCGCGTCTGACCTCAGAGGCTCCACTCCAGGCCTGAAATGGCTAGAATACACTGACAACACGGAATTCACTTCCCAAGGAGAAAACCCCTTTGCGAAAACCTCAAAGGCAAACCAACAAGGTTTTATTGTTAAAGATTTGGGGCAGAAGATCAAATCTCTGAGGCGCTGGGATGGACTGAGTGTGGACTGGACGCTGATGAAGCATTCTGCCCAGAGGCAGGGAGAGTGAGGGGCCTCTGGTGGGCCAGGAGAGGCTGTGCGCTTGTGAATGTGAATCAATGTAAAATCCAGTCTTTATTCCTCCTGCTTCTGTGGGCTCTGATATATACTGAAAATTAAAGCGGGCTCTGTCTTCTGGGACGCACCTCTTTCTTTAGATGGCAAGGGATTTCAGAAAAGGGAAAAAGCAGTATGCAGAAAGAATCACAAGGCCTCCCAGCCGAATCCCAGCTGAATCCTGAGACTTAGGCACATGCCTTCTATAGTGTAGATTCCTCTATCCAGGGCAGCTGGAGGCCCTATCATTCTATTCTCCTCCTCCTGGGGTCTTTAAAGCTACAGTTCAATCAACCAGCCCCACTACTTGCTGGTTCATTTCATTCCTTTCCCCAGAGAGACCACCCCTTGGCCCCCTGCCCAACCCCAGCCCCAGGTGCTGACCTTAAAGAACTTATCGATTTTGCTGAGGTTGATCCTCTTCTTGGCATCCAGTTTGTAAATGTTACTGACGTTTCCATCCATCAGGTAGAGACCAAAACCCATGACCTAGAGTGAGAAGAGGCAGAAGCCAGTCACATCCACTGGAAAAGTTTCAAACAACCAACAAAAGCAGATCTGTGTCTGTGTTCACATCCCCTGTAGTGACACATTCTGTGACAAAAACCCATGTGTCTTCAAAAAAAAAAAGGGGGGGGGAACCCATAGGTCTACTTTCAACCAGAAATTTGATTTCTGTGAAGAAATGCAGAGGACTCTTTCATATATTATCATGGCGGCCACTTCTTGAGTCCTCCCCCATGGGCCAGAGTCTGTGCTTTGGGATTTAGCAGGCGTCATCCTTCATTCTCACAACAATCTTATGAGTCAAGTTCTACACAATAACCTTATTCTACGGACGAGGAACTGGAGACACAGAGAGGTTAGACAGCTTGCCAAGGTCACACAGCTAGTAAGCTGCAGAGACAGGATCTGAACCGGGATCTGACAACAACATGTAGGCACTTAGATCCTTCTTGAGAGGAAGGACTGAGTGGTGCTGTTGCTGCATCCCTGGGCCCCAGCACATCACAGGCACTTGATGAATACTCACTAGATGGTAAATGGATGTGAAACTATTCACCCCTTTCTCCAAGGAAACTACAACAAAGATTCCCAAGGAATCTCATCGGTGACTTCATTAACAAAAAGAACACATTTTTGCCTGACAATGCCCTATAAGCAGGTTGACAGGCTGATTCTTGATATTCCAGTCCATACAATACTTTCCTGAATGCTGGCTTCTTTTGCTCTTTTTGTCAAATGTACAACAAGCCTGAGGAGGCCTGAATAGCTAGGTTGAAAGCAGCTTCCCTCAGCACACAGTTGCTATGTGACTGGGGATAAGTCACGTCTGACACCTAAGGGAGTGGACTAGAGGATGGGCGTTTGCATTTTGCAGTTCCGCAGGGTGTGCACCAGACTTTTCCATTTAAGGTAGAAGGCGCTCCCTGGTGGCATCTGAGTTCACTAACAAACTGCAGAGACAAGCAGTGCAGGAGTCCAGGTTGAGGAGGCAGAGAATTGAGAGGGAAGAAGGTTGGGAAGCTGAGACGTGGGAGGATTAAAAGCAGGCAAGAGAAAAGAAGGGCCTGAGAATCTGATGGCAGCATCTAACGATGCTTGGTGGACTGGGGTTTAGCAACCAACTTAGTGGAAGCAGCAATTCTGGGCAGAGCTATGGTAACTGCCCAGGCATAGCACTGGGGGTGAGAGAGACTGCTGAGCTCTGGGTGACTTCTCTGGATTTCTGACTGTGCAGAGCAAGCCAGAGTGAACAAGACACAAAGCCACACTGTCCTGCAAGCTTCTTCGAGATGTTATGGAAATGTTAAGAAGGGAACACCAACAGGGCTGGGATTCTTGAAATAGCAGGAGGCGACATGGAGAGGAAAAAAAAGTCAAACCAGCATCGGAATTTTGAAAGGGGAGGTTCTGGGGAAAAACGAATCAAAAGGGGTGATGCATATGAATGGAGAAGATTATTCATTTCCGGGCTATTGTTGTCAGAGGGAAATTAGAAATAATCTAAGCAGCTAACGATAGAATAATGGCTAAAGAAATTAAAGCTCATCCATATAACATCACTTAAGGGCTGCATAATCTTCCAAATGCATTTAATGAAGTGGGATAAAAATTACACGCGCACAAAATTTATGTAAATTGCATATGTAAATTACATACATATGAAAATATATCAGCACAGAAAAAACGAGAAAGATATACATCAAAATGCTAAAAGTGTTATCTCTGGATGGAAAGATTGTAAGAGATTCAATTTTTTAATGCTTTTCTGTATAGTCCAGATTTTCTACAATAATAAAAATTACTTGGTAATTAAAAAATGAAACTTGTAAACCGATGAAACAAATGTGACCCATTTGGCAAAATACAGCAAAAGTTTGAAGATTCTGCCTTCCCCTTGAGTTGGCAGTTTTTTTCTCCAGGATGTCTGGCTAAACAAGAGTATGGACATGAAGGTGTTCTACAGAGTTTCAATGCAGTTTAGCAAACAAATATCCAACCACAGGGGATCTGTTAAATAACAATGTCCCCATTCAATGGAACACTTGGCAGCCATTAAAAATCACATTGTACTGGCTTCCCTGGTGGCACAGTGGCTGAGAGTTCTCCTGCCGATGCAGGGGACACAGGTTCGTGCCCCAGGACGGGAAGATCCCACATACCACAGAGCGGCTGGGCCCATGAGCCATGGCCGCTGAGTCTGCACGTCCGGAGCCTGTGCTCCGCAACGGGAGAGGCCACAGCAGTGAGAGGCCCACGTACCGAAAGAAAAAAGAAACGAAAAGAAAAGAAAAAAAATCACATTGTAGAAAGAGCCTTAATGATGTCTGGAAAGGTGTATATGACATATTCAAGGCAAATAACAGGTTACAAAACACTATATGCAGTAAGATCTGTATCAATGCTTAAGTAAGAAGAAAGAAATATTAAAAACAAATGATTTTAAATAAGAAGGAGGTGAGAGGGCAAGCCCAGGCCCTGAGGTGTGTGACGGAGGGAGCTGTACCTTGAGGAGCATGTGCTTCTCACTGGGGGTCAGATACATCTTGTTCTCGTAGTAATCCACACAGATGTTGACAATGTCGGCCAGCAGCTCCTCATAGCCTGGGATCACTTCCAGTTGCTGGTGGAGACACTAAACAGCAGTGCCCCCCCACCCCCGGTTAGCCACTGTCCTGCATCCTCACACACACACCACCCAGGATGGACCACCGCTGGGCCCTGGGACAGTGCCCGGCCTCACTGACTGCCCCAGGTGGAGGGGAGCCTGCAGCCTCTCTTCAACGTGCCCACAGTGGTTGGTCAGAGCTCCTGCACATCCCCCATGGCAGGGACCTGCTCCCCTTGGGGCCTTGCATTGTATTTCCTGGCAGTTCTGATGGTTAGAAAGTGCATTACTGGGCTGAGCTGAAAGCATCTCAGCTAGGCCCGTGGTCATCCCAGCTTAGTTTTGACAGTGTGGACTGAGCCCAAGACGTCTTCTCAGATGATGGTGGGAAGACCAAGCCCAGTGGAGGAGAGCTGGGCCAGCAGGTGTCTCCGTCCTGGCAGGACACAGCAGTACAAAGACATTTCCTGTACAAGAAGGCCTGAGGTCTCCACCCCAGGCCCCTTGTCTCCAAAGGGACACACTGGCCCATGGCGGGGTGTGCATGGGGCTCAGGCGTGGGGCTGGGTCCCCGGGAAAAAACCTGAAGCCTCAACACTGAGGAGCCTTCTGCAGGTAACACAGAGCAGGGAAGGCCCAGTGAAGCCCTGAGAAAGATTTTAGCCTAGAAACCCTTTGAAGATTGAAGGCCCCTCTCAAGTTTAGGCCTGGGTCCTGCTGACATTCCTGCCGGTGCCTGTTTAGGTTGAATTGAGAGATGCACAAGACAGGTTATTTTAAGTCAGGCAGAGCGTGAGAGCCACAGCTGCGTGGGAATACCCTGGCAAAGTGGCGGCAGCAGCTATGACTACATCTTTTTATGTCCTTGCTGTCTATCAGGCTCTACACGTTAAGGGCTTTTTATATAGTATCTCATTTATTTCTCACCACTGTCCTATGAGTGGCAAAACAACAGTCCCATTTTACAGACGAGGAAACTGAGGCTTAGACCTTGCCCGAGGCCTCACAGTGGGTCAGTGGAGGGTCGAGGATGAGAAAACAAGGCGGTCTAACTCCAGAACCCAAGCTTTCAATCTACACCGATGCAGAGGCAGAACACTGGCTAGAAGGTTTTCAGAGAACAAACTCCGGAGAGGGTGAAAGGGCCATCTGTGGTTGCGAGGGGAGACTTAAGTCTGCAGCTTAAAGCCTGAGTAGGGCAAAGGGGACGGCTGATCTGAACAGAGCTCCTCTGCTCGTGGCCCACGCCCCCACACCAACCTCCAGGCCCTGGCCTGCGTCGCGGGATGCCAGGCCAGGACTAACATGGGTTTGCCATCACCTGGGTGATCCTGTTGTGATTGGCCAGGAACATGGACAGGTTCTGTGACTCCTGGATAGACTGGGGGTCCGCCATCTTCCGCAGGAACTGCGCCGCCCTGGGACGGGGTGTTGCAGAGAGGGATGCTCAAGCACAGCCGGCCTCAGCTGGGCCTCATGGACCCCATCTCTCAGCTAACCCGGATACACTGTCCCTGAGGTTAAGGGGCTCTGAACATCACAAGTGACTCTAACATCAAAGGAGAGCGTGTTCTGGAGTCATTTCATTAGGAGCTGTCTGCACCCTTGTAATAAGGGTATCTGAAATTAGGAGGCAAGAACGCACTGAAGCTCAAAGACCAGGAAAGTTTAAGGGCAGCTAGCATCCCGTCAACCAGCTTGTGGTAGGACAGAGCGAAACGGGCATCCCTGTGCCTCACAGTGTCCTCCAGTGAAACTGCACGGTAAGTCACGGAGAAGAATCACAGGCAGCAGGATGTTTTGTTTTCATTGCGTATTATGTTATTTTTAGGAAAACCTCAATGTTTCTAAACATTGTATGGAAAACCAAAGTCTATTTAACCTGACGGGATTACAGGTGAAGGGATGATGGGTGTGGGGAACACTGCGGGACTTAAAGGGAGAAAACCACAGCACTGGGACTTCTCCAGCCTGACCTGGAGGTGGAGGTGATGCAGCCCGTGTCACGATGGACCGTGGAACACAGACAAGACACCTGTCTTGCTCATGACCCTAGCCGGTCCACAGAGCACGTCGGCTGTGACCATGATGGAAGTAGCTGGCCACATCTGGGGAGAATTTGTGGGGAAGATACTGTACCATGAGCTAGCTGTCTATGGAATCTTTGTGAAATTGCCATTTCTGAATGGGGCTCTGTCTTCTGGGTACTCCCAGGTTTCAATTCACTCAGGAGGATAAAATGGTGAGGATCTGTATGTTGTCTGTTTTCTCCAGTTACCATGGAGCCCTGGGAGAATGTGGCTCCGGAGGGGGACCCTCTTCAGCAGTGACACAGAAAATCCTTCCCAAGAGATGTGTACAGACACCTTGGAGCATATCTGAGCCTCAACCAACACAAAGTATATTGGCTGCTTTCGCCTGCCCTCCCCCACTTTTGGATGGCTGTATCCAAATTTCTGGAGAGGACTGACCCCTCCACCCCCCTCAGTCCTTCTTTCTTGTGAGCTGACACTGACCTCCAACTGACCCCAAGGACGAGCACCCCTCCCATCAGCACCACCCCAACACACACATACATAGTATAGCGTCTGATGGAGGGATCAGCACATGACCCAAGCTGGACCAATGACAATCCTCCTTGGGACTTCTGCAAAAGTATTTGCAAGGAGGAGCATTCTTTCCGTCCTTAGGAGCTGGGGTCACTACATTGGCTGGCGGGACGCTTATAGCTGCTGGAGGCCACACAGGGTATGAGCCTGCCTGAGAATGAAGCTGATACTGAGGAAAGCTGAGCTGAGAGGTAGAGGGAACCAGACCAACAATATCACCTGAGTACCTGGATCAAGCTGACCAGGACTTTTCTGTTCTGGGAGCCAACGCAGTTTCTTCTTTTACATAAGCAGTTTGAACTGGCTTTCTGATTCTTGCAGAGAATGACTCCTGTGACCATCTGATGATTCTATTAATCACAATATAATCTCAGACTGCATGGGACACAGAAAATGCTGCTGCTCCACAGGTGGGGCAAATGAGGATTTGATTCCACCTTGAGACAGAAAACCCTGCCAAGACCCAGTTCTCCAAAACTCAGCTCTGCACCTTATTCCTTAAACTGCAGAAACAGAGGCAGGCCCCCAACCCCACTGTGTCTGTGGACTGGCTAGCTTGGTTCCGAGAAGGAGCCTCTTAGAAGGGCTCTGTTCTCTTCCTCCCACTGGTCACTGGCCGGCGGCCCAGGAAGATGGGGGAGGGGGAGGGGCCCTGACCTCTTGTAGGCAGAGTGATCGTTCTTGACGCTGCACTTCATATTCTTCAGCTCGTCCAAGACTGCAAACATGTTGATGAACTTGCCCAGGGTCAGGAGGTAGGCCTCGGAGACAAAGTCTTTCCTCCGCTCAGCGTGGCACAGCCGTTTCACCTCACTGCAGAAGCGTTCGATGGCCTTGCGCTGCACGCAGAGGGGCAGCGGGTCAGGATGCGGCGGCCTGGTGGGGTGCCTCACTGCTCTCTCTGGTGAGGTCGAGCCTCCCCTGGGGCCCTAGTCAGAGCCTGGACATTTAGAGAAAGGCAAATCTGCCCAGAGGTCTTTCTCAGAGGTGTGCTGAAACACTAAGCTGATTTCTAGAGGGAAGCCCAGAACCTGCCCCCAAGTGAGTCAAACCAATGAATTCATTCACCACGCCCTTGCTGGGAAAACACTGTCTTGTTCATGTGTGTATCCCAAAACCTAGGACAGTGCAGGCACCAGACAATAAGGGGGCAGAGATGGAGAGTGAGAGGGATGCTCAGAGAAAGAGGTTCATTCATCCAATAAACGGGTGTTTACTGAGCATCTTCCACTTGCCAGGCACCATTCTTGGCCCTGGGGTGAAGCAGGAAACAAAACGGAAGAAAAAGTCTGTACCAGAAGGAGCTTATATTCTAGTGATGGCTGGCAGAAAACAAAATAAACAAATTCTCTCTATTAGAATGTGATAGGTACTATGGAGAAAAATAAAGCAAGGAAAGGAGATAGGGAGGCCTTCAAAGACCAGATCAAGCCACGCTTTCTCCTTCCAGAGTCTAACACAGCTTTCTGGGATGATGGAAATGTTCCATACCTGCTCTGTCTAATACAACAGCCACTCATCATATGTGGATACTGAATACTTGAAAAGGCGAGTGCAATGGAGGATCTGCATTTTAAATTTTATTTAACTCTAATTCATGTAGCTAGCCATATGTGGCTACTGGACAGCACAGCTCTAGATTATCTCAGCTCCTCCCTTCTCTAAATACCTCCTGTCAGGAGGCCCTCAGTTTAGCACATACTTAGTTTTAGGGTAGCTTTTCTCTCTTGAACCTGCCTTCCCGAAGAGATTTTAGGTTCCTCGAGAGCAGGTGCATGATGCTAATAATAGCAGCTGCCCTTTGTTAAACCTGCTCTGTAATGAGGGCTCTACAAACAGGGCACTTTACAAGCAGACCTTATTTATCCCTAGAGAAAACCTGTGAAATAGGCATTCTTTCCAAGGTAAGAAAACTGAAGTTGTCAGAGGTCTGAAATAACTAACAGAACACAGTCAGAATGCGACAGAACCCTGGGCTTCTCTGCCTTCGAGGCTCTATCTGCACCTTCCCCAGATGTTCCCATCTCCCTCCCCCAGAAGGCCAGCACAGAGCTGGGCGCAGGGCAAACCCTGGGCCAGTGCTTGTAGGCCTACTTATGAGGCTCATAAATACACGTGGAGGGCACAGAGTGTGTGGCAGGACTCCCACCCGGGCAGAGGGTGGTCTTAAAGCCATCAGCCTGCATTCCTGAATGGCTTCCAGATAAGCATAATAACCAGCTTGCCCTCTTACCTTTCATTCAGAGGAGGCTTTGGCTGTCTTTTCTCTTTTCCTCCCTTAAATGCTCATTCTTCTTGGCTTCCCAACTGGTCTCCCTGCTGCCACCCTTCTGCCCTCCTGCCCCTGACACCTGTGCTGCCCCCCACTTCCCATCCATCAACCACAGAGCAGCCAGAACACCTCGATCAGATCATGTCGCCGGAAATCTCCAGCGGCTTCCTGTGGTGCTTGAAGAAAATCCAGGTATTCTTCTCCTGGCCTGCAGTGCCCTGTATGAGTAGGTCCCTGCCTACCCTGCTCACTATGCAGCCTCCCTGGCTTCGTTCCATTTCTTAAACATGTCATGCTCCTTGAGGCTTCAGGGCCTTTGCCTTTGCAGTTCCTTCTGCCTGAAACCCCCTGCCCCTGGATCATCACCTGCCAGCCTCTTTCACATCATACAGATCTCAGTTCAAACATCACCTCCGTGGAGGCCGTCCCTAAAGCTGCATCCATGTCGAAGATACCCTCCATGCCAGAGGTTCTTTAATTGTATTTTATTCACAGCACTTGTTCTGTTGTGTATTGTTAATTGTCAGTCTCTCCTCCCACCCAGAACACATTCGTCTGCCCACTAGAATGTGAATTATATGGAGGGAGAGGCTTGTCTGTCTTGCTCACCCCAGGGTGGGTATGGGGCACTAGAAAGTGTTTGCCGAATGAATAAATAACATGGCACAGAAATCCAGTACCAGTGTCTAGAAGCGTGGGGACCTACTCAGGTGTCCTGGTCCAGACCCACCCTAACCCCTCACCTGAAAGTACATGAACTTCATGAGCTTAGTGACCTCCGGCTCCAGCACCTCCACTGTCTTCTCATAGATCTCCACTCGGTTGGGCTGCTCGTTGCATTTCACCTGTGGGGAGACAGGGGGTTTCGCACACCCTGGTTTGCCCAGGTGGTCCTGGTTCACACCTGCTGTCTTATTAACAGGGCCCGTTTTCACTGTTGAATGCACCTCATTTAGGATGATCAGTGGTATGGTTACCTAGTGAGAGGAGGCTGGGGTAGCCCTGTCTGACATTCTGATGGGGGAAGAACTGCTCCCCAGACACTGGCTGCAAGAAAGAAACCAGGTGGTCCCCAGAACAAAACCCTCCTCCCCTTCAGTCTGTTCTGTGCCCCGCCCATGAGATGTACACACGACTACGTTGAGCTGCACAGTCTCCCTCCTGCCGCCTCTGCCCCACTCCTACCCCAGTACCCCCTACTCCTATGTGGGGGCCGCTGCCTGATCCTAAGCAGAGAAAAACGTTCTGTCCATGGCTCTGGATGCACTTGGGACAAAGTCCCCTGGCCATACTTGGGCCCATTAAGAAGCCCGTTTTCTCTGCCCAGTGGTTTTCAGCACATCAGAATCCCGTGGCAGATGTGTTCACAGCATGCACACCCAAGGCTGCTAACAGGTCACTGAAACTGGAGAGTGAGCAAAGGGTAGTAAACACAAGGACATTCTTCACACCGTTGTATAGAAACTCTTAAAATGGAAGCACCTAGCTAAACATCCAGAAGTCGATGATTAAATGGATAAAGTATGATGCATTCATACACTATCATTATGTAACTGTTAGGGGCAATGAGATAGATCTCTGACCTGAGGTGGAAAGATTGCTACCATAAACTGATGGGTGGAAACAGCTGCAGTACAGGAATGGTAATTTAATCCCGTTTTTATTCAACAAAACACAAAACAGTGTGTGTGCTTGTGTATCCATATATAATACAGGTATAGAGAATCTGAAAGGGTGCGAAAACCAAGCTGTTAATAAGTAGTGAGCTCTTGGGGTTAGGATTGGGAGCAAGGTAGAGGAATGGTTTCTGTTTACACACCTGTGGCCTGTTGATTTGGTTACAGTGGGACCTAAGAATAATATGATAACTATGATAATGGTAAAAATAATATCTGTGTGTGTCAACATGAAAAAAGTCAGTTATAAAGAATACAGTGTAGGGCTTCCCTGGTGGCGCAGTGGTTGAGAGTCCGCCTGCCGATGCAGGGGACACGGGTTCGTGCCCCAGTCCAGGAAGGTCCCACATGCCGCGGAGCGGCTGGGCCCGTGAGCCATGGCCGCTGAGCCTGCACGTCCGGAGCCTGTGCTCCGCAACAGGAGAGGCCACAACAGTGAGAGGCCCGCGTACCGCAAAAAAAAAAAAAGAATACAGTGTAAAAAATTCAAGTGGCAGAACCGTATAAATAGGAAACTACACACTTTTGTAAATGACAATAATTTACAAAATAATAATCACAGAAATATTCATGATGTTTGAGGAAAGAGAGCCAGATGACTATGCAGCAAAGCGTCCACAGTGATTATGCTTTGGTGGGAGGTGGGGGATTTGGGTGGTGGAGCGAGGGGTGAGGATGTCTTGCTTTTTACTTTCTACCTTTCTGCAGTGGTTTGGGTGTTGTACAGTTAGCATATACTGCTTTCAAAAGAAAATAATACTGAGCAATTTTTAAAAGCTGGCGTCAGTTTTACGGGATGCTCTCTGAATGTTTTCAGCGCACCCCCTTGGGTAAGAGGCCCTGCTTCACTCCCTGCTGCCTGGAGAAGGTCAGTAATCTGGACGGGGGCGGGGTGGAGGGTGGAGGCACCCCCTGAAGGGGCAGGACTGTCTCACCTGGGGGATGGCCCGGGAACAGCTGCGCCAGGTGTATAGCATGACCGCATACTCGTGCCCTTCCTCCAGCATTTCATTCTGAAAAGCAGAACACGCTCAGCAGGGAGAAACTGCTCCGGCGCCACAAGACTTTTCAACAGCCCCCCACTCCCAGTCGTCGCAACTCACAGTGTGGTCTGTGGACCAGCAGTGTCAGCATCACCCGGTGGTGGTGGTAGTGGTGGTGGGGCTTATTAGAAATGCAGAGTCTCAGGCCCCTCCCTGGGCCTATGGAATCTGAATCTGCATTTCAGTAAAATTCCCCGGGGACTCACACTCCCAGGTGCACAATAAGTTTGAGAAGCAATGGCCTAAATTATCCCCATCAGACACTCAAGGGCTCTACAAGCAGGACACATTTTTCAAAGACAGATGGCTACCTCAGAAAGGAGGGGCAGATCCACTAGCTCCAACAGCAAAAGCTGTCCCAGATAAACAGCAAGAAGATAAGCAAAACAGTTTGTACAGCAGATAGGTTAAAAAACACAGAGTAATAATTATGAAACTATAATATTGTGTATGGAAAAATATTTTGGTGGAATACATACCACAACTATGAATAGCAAGCTCTCTGTGGGGATGGATAAACAGGGGCTTTCGCTTTTCACATCACACGGTACTACAATGTCTGCTCTTTTATAAGAGCCCACTTTACTATTTCATAAGCAGGAAGACGGTTAAGATTAAGATTTTTAAAAATAATACGGAGCAGATGGCAAAACTAACAACAGCACGAAAAACAAATCTGATGACTCACCTCACCTAGTAAGTGCTTCATGGGAAAGAGCCCTAATCTCAGTGTCTAAATATCTGGGCTGAAATCCCAGCTTCATCACTTAGCCCTTTGGCCTTCAGGAAGTCACTTAACCTAAAACTCTCCATTTAGTCATCTGTTTAATAATAATGTTGTAAATAACAACCTCAGAGAATTTTATGAGAATTAAATACAATACAAACATACATACACACTAGGTAATCTGTAAAGGGAGTTAAGAGTATTACTAGGGAAAAGATAGTCTGGCAGCTCCTCAAAAAGTTAAACACACAGTTACCATATAACCCAGCAATATAACCCTGCTCTGAGGTATGTATCCAAGAGAAATGAAAGCACATCTGCTCACAGAAACTTCAACACTTGTTCACAGCAACATTATTCTAATAGTCAAAAAAACAGAAACAACCCAACGGGTGAATGGATAAATAAAATGTGGTATAGCCATGCAATGGAATAGTACTGTTCTGTAAAAAGGAATGAAGTACTGATCCATGCTACAACATGGACGAACTTTGAAAACATTATGCTAAGTGAAAGAAGCCAGACATAAAAGGCCACCTATTATATGATCCATTTAGATGAACTGTTCAGGATAGACAAATCCATAGAAACAGAAAGTAGATTAGCAGTTGGGGGGGAGCAGAATTGGGAGGGACTGCTAAAGGTTTGGGGGTTTCTTTTTGTGGTGATGGAAATTAGATAGTAGTGATAATTGTATAACACTGTGAATCTACTATTAAAACACTGAATTGTACACTTTAAGTGGTGAATTTTGTTATATGAAGGACGTCTCAAAAAATACAATAAAAAGAGTATTACTAGACCATCTCTTTTGTGAATGTTTGTAGATACAAAAATGAACCTTTACTGATTTATTTTTTAGCCCACACATCATATCTATTTCATAATATCTTCCTAGCACAAGATCAGATTTAATTTGGAGCTTATTACTTTTTAAAGTTTTGTTTTCAACAGCAAATGTCACTGACGAGTCACACTTTCAATTCTTAATTTACAGAACTCTTTAAATCAGTAACATGTTGTGCTTGAGACCACAGAGAACCAAGAATCAAGCCTGTGGGTCTCCTGCTGCCGTTGCTTCAGAACACGTGTCAGAAAAGGGAAGTGACAGTAATGCATAGGGAACATGTGTCTACTTATCAGCACTAAACTGCCCACTGGCAGGTATATTCCCATTCACTCATCCAGTGAACCTTTCACTGAGTGCTCACGGGTCCCTGGCTTGGTGCTATGTGCCGAAAACAGGCCAGTGAACAAGAATGATGTGGACTCTGCCTTGTGGACAGTTCAGCTGACCATCAGTCAGATTTGTTGTATAATCATGCCTGGAATGTAGAGGTCAGGATGGTGTGTTGGACGGAGCTTCAGGAAACTTGAGTTCTGGTCCTGGCTCTGCTTGGACCCAACTTTTATCTGCACAATGTCATGGTTTTCTTATTTAGAGGCAAAGAGTTGGCCTAAATCACTGGTTCTGAGTCCTGGCTGCACGTTAGTCACCTGGGCAACTTTGAAAACGCCTGATGCCCAGGCTGGGCTCCAATGGAACAAAATCATTATCTCTGGGGAAGGGGCCCAGGCATAAGTGTGTGTTCATGCTCTCCAGGTGATTCTAATGTGCAGCCTAGGTTGACAGCTATAGGACTAAGGATCTCTCAGGTCCTTTACCTTGATAAGATTCTGTAAGTCCACGATTTAAACCCAATGTGAGTTCAGTTCAAATTTCAGATAGTGACAGACTGTACCTCTCAGCACTTATTTGGACACTCAGCCCCCATCTCACCCCCCAGCAAAGAACCCTTGACTGTTCCTCATAGGTGGTCAATTACATGGTGGTCAATTACTCCTCTTTTCTCTGGCTATCCTGCCCTTTGAGAAATTCACCTTGCCCCAAAGTGGGCAGGAGAAATACAAGAAGATGAACATCTAATGAAGCCTCTTGCTGCTGATAAAGCTACTCTACAGAAAGATTTAGCAAGGTACAAGGAGGAAATTGTTGAGGAAGTGAAGTTTTGGCATTATCCACGAACATCAACGGTACACCCTATCTGAGACCCTGCCTAAAACCATATCAACACTATCCCTGTGTTGGTAGAACAGCGGCCCCAGAAAGATGTCTGCATCCTAATCCCCAGAACCTGTGAAAACAATACCTTACACAGCAAAAGGGACTTTGCAGATGTTATTAAGTTAGCAGCCTTGAGATGGGGAGATCATCCTGGGGTATCTGGTGGACCCAGTGTAATGGCAAGGGTCCTAATAAGTGAGAGGGAGGTGAGAGAGTCAGACCAGGAGTCGTGAGGATGGAAGCAGAGATGGGAGTGGTGTGACTGCTGGGTGCAAGGGGGCTGAGTGAAGGAATGTGGGCAGCCTCTAGAAGCTGGAAAAACAAGGCAACAGATTCTCCTCTAGAGCCTTCAGAAATGAACGCAGGCTTGCCCACACCTTGATTTTAACCCTGTAAGACCCCATGCCAGGCTTCTGACCAAAAAAACGGTAAGCAACTAACTTTGTGTTGTTTTAGGTCACCGAATCTGTGATAATCTTCTGTTACAGCAGCCATAGAAAACGAATACAATCTGCCTCGAAACCGGCCCTTCCTCTGACTTCCCTACTGGTGTCCCTGACCTGGTATTTCCAGGAAACCTCAGTCAGCATCGTTGTCACTCCCATGGGCCCCAGCACCCAGCACACTGTGAAGCCAGGCGGAGTCAACCTCCAGCGCCTCTTGTATCCGTGTCCCCTTAGCCATCCCTCACACCATTGCCCTCATCCGGCCCTTGACACCTCCAGTGTAGATAGCTTTAACTATCGCCTCACTCACGCCTCCTTACCACTTGTTCTGCACAAAACTAACAAATGAAACTTATTCCTCAAGTGTATTTCTGTTCACATTTCTCCCATCAATGAAAAATTCCCATTGCTACTGATTTTTGATTAAATGAATTAAAGCCCTCTATTATGGGCTGACTTGTGTCCCCCCGTGAAATTCGTATGTTGAAGCCCTAACCTCAGGACCTCAGAATGTGACTATATTTGGAGACAGGGCCTTTAAAGAGATGATTAAGTTAACATGAGGCCATTAAGGACCCTCATCCAATCTGACAGAATTTGGACACACAGAGAGACACCTTACATGTGCCTGCACAGACAAAAGACCGTGTGAGGACATCGCCAGAAGGCGGCCGTCTGTAAGCCACGGAGTGGCCTCAGGAGAAAGCAACCCTGCTGACACCTTGATATTGGACTTCTGTCTCCAGAACTGGGAGGAAATAAATTTGTTATTTAAGCCACCCAGTCTGTGGTATTTTGTTATGGCAGCTCTATCAAACGAAGACAGCCTCTATGCACTGACCCTTATCTAATTTTTGATAAATACCACCAAGAATTTCCCTATATGTACTTCACAGTCCAAACCCAGGCAGTCTCTGTGCCTTTTGCCTCTGTGCCTTTCCTCATGCTGCTTCCACCAGCCGGATGCTCTCCATCTCATCCCTGACAGATAAAATTCTAATTGTGTGGGACAGCAGAGGTCAGTGGAAAGAGATCAGGGCTGGGAATCTTAAGTCCTGGATTCTAGGTTCAACCTTGTGATTTACTAATTGTGGGATCATGAGCAACCTGCTTATTAACTTCTCTAGGTCTCAGTTTTCTCATCCCTAAAATGGGAATAATGATCTCTTTGCAAGTCACAGGGCTATTATAAGGTTCCAATGATACCACGTATAAGAAAACCTTATATAGTTTAAAGTACCATTTATATATGGTATAAATATATATATTACATATATATTATGTATATATAATAACCATATATTATATATATATATGTGTGTGTATATATATATATATATATATATAAAATATGTGGTTATAATGTGTGTGTGTATGTACAGTATACAAGCCTCTACTCAAAACCCACTTCCTTCATCAAGATTTCTCTGAGCCTCTCAGGGCCCCTTAAAGACTTTGAACTTTCACCATGCCTTTTACCTTTAACTTTGTATATTTTTATTTGTTTGCAAAGAGCCATCTAGAGCACAGGTTTTGTAGTCAAACAGATTTGGGTTTAGCTCTGCCATTTGTCAGTGGCAGGACCCTGAGTAAGTTACTTAACTTTTCTGGACCTCAGTTTTCCCCACCCATAAAATGAGTATTGTAATAGAACCTTCTTCAAAGGGTTGAGGTGAGGATTAATTAAGACAATGCATTTAAAATATCTGCACAGAAAATGTTCAATAAATGGTAAGCCTGTCTATTTCTACTTGACTCATTGAGAACCAAGACCAGCCCTATCTGTCCTTGCATATCCCCCTCTCCAGCATTTAGCAGGGTCTCTCCAGGTACCAGGTACACAACATTTATTGAATGAATGGGCAGGGAGTGGTGAGACAGGCTTTAGGCTATCGCTGATACAGTGAGAAAGGTCCACTGAGCCACAGGCAGAACCTGTGAATGAGAAATTTGGAATTCTTTAAATGTCAGCGATGCATGAGGATGAAATCAATGAAAGCCCAAGAAGGAAGGGTACCCTCACAGATGGGTCAGACAAAGACCCATCAAACAACGGGTCCCTCTTTGTGAATGATTTAGGCCACCAGTAATGTGTTACTCCAAACCTTTTTTGAGAAACTTTGTGCTTTGGTCAAGGGCCAAAATTCCACACAGCCAGTAATCTATCTATAAAGCATAAAACAAGGCAGGATCTAATCAACTGTTAACCCCCAAAGCTAAAGAAGCTCAGGGAAGTGAACAGTGGGTATACAGTTCCGCCCCAAAGGTGAGCAGGATTTGCAAGGCTGGAAGATAGGAACAGTGTGCCTCCAGGCGCTGAGAGGGGATGGGTGGGGCATGAGGATGGGCTTGAGGAGATGGATCTGAGGCAGAGTGTTCTTGGAACAGCTGAGCACATGCCCCCGGCAAGAGAAGCTGCCCACAGCCCCGCCCCCACCAGCAGGGGGCACGTCTGTCCCTGAAGGTCACAGAGACTTACCATGCTGGAGTGGACTGTAGCCTGCTCAATGTACCTTGCAATGCCTGTGACAAACGCATTCCTGTCCTCGAAGTTTGTGTCAAAGTTAGCCTGCAGGAATTAGAGAACAGGAATACTTGGTGGTTGGAAAACAGGTTCAAGGTGGCTGGGTGTCCAGGGAATAAACCGCTGCCAACAAATGCCCGAGTTCTCTGTGGAAATCTATCCCCACATCACCCTCTCATCTTCTGCCAAGAAATCCCACCCTGAATCCCACTGGGCAGGAGCTGGCTACAGCCAGGGCCTGCATCTGCTTCCCATGGGTCATCAGGTTCACCCAGGGAGCCTCGGAAGTAAAGGCTTAAACCATACAAGCCTAAACTAAATAGCTCTTAAAAGTGAAGATGTGTTTTTTTTTTTTTTTTTTAGAAAGAAGCAGACTCACAGACATAGAGGAAAAACTAGCGGTTACCAGTGGTGGGCAAAGGGAGGTACAAACTAGTGGATGTAAAGTAGGCTCAAGGTTGTACTGTACAACACTGGGAATGTAGCCAATATTTTGTAATAACTTTAAAAATTGTATAAAAAAATTTTTTGAAAGATGAAGATATTTAAAACAAAAGGTGAAGAGGTACACTGCTTTGATCCAGCAGATGCAAAAATACTTGCCCAAGGGTGCAGATACATCTGTACAAGAATAATAACTGCAGTATTTTTTTAATAAAAATACTGAAAACCATCCAAATATCCATTAACAGCAAAAAGCTAAATAAATAATAGTATATCCATACAATGGGCTCATCTTATAAGTACTATGTGGTGGTGAAATACAGTGTGGTAGCATAGCAGTATTGTCAGGAAAAATACCCATAATAAATTTTAAGTTAAAAAAGCCAAATCATACAGCAACATAATATAGTGTCATTCTCTTTTGGTTAAAAAGAAAAAATGATATATATACGTGGTAAAAAGGTGTGTGGGTATATATACGTGTATATATATATAGACACGGTTACAGGGAAATTTTTATTTGTTATAAATACTTTGCTGCATTGCTAATAATAAAAGAGATATTTACATAATTAAAATTTAATCTGGGTTAGAAAATATGAATAAACCAAGTGGATGAGTTGAACCTTCAGGCATGTGCATAATAAATCTAGCCATTGAATGAAATTTAAAATATACTATGCGTTTATATTCGGTCTCATTTAGCAGTCCAAGAACTTTCAAAAGGTCAAATACAGCTAAAAAGCTAAAAATTTCCAATTAACTAATTCTTTCATAACATGGTATACTTGCCCAGCACACCCAGACAGGGTCTATTTGCAAGGATGACTACAGCTGCACGGATGCCCTTCCCACCACGCCCAGGTGGGATCTCGGTTTTGAGCAATCTGATCACGGTTTGTCACAAGCTTGCCTCTCAGGCAAAAGCAAACAACTGTGACTGGCTTCCCGGAGCCATTATCGGCTGTGGGGAGTTGAAGACCTCTTGTCACATACATGAAGGAAAAGTAATTACCCAGGCAGGCTCTAGGGGTTTCTAAATTGCGATATTTAATTCATGAGGTCAGAGCTGCCAAAACCTTGGTCGGTGCTGCAGCAAGAACAGCCGGGAAGGTATTTGGGGTCAGAACGGATCAACAAGCCTTCCCCGAGGGAAGAGAAACAGCCCTGGTATACATTTACTAGCTTATCTATTGCTTACACTCAGCTCCACCAGCGCAGCAGGGACTCCACCAGCTGATGACCTTTCACCTTCTAGATGCAGGCATCCCACTTCCCTCTGCCTTCAGGGCAAACCCTCTCAGGGGATCCCCAGAATTCCTGATCCCACCCCCCACCATCTGGCCCTGGTGCTCTGGGAGGACTTAACCTGGTACATGATGGAGGAAGGCGGGGGTTCGATGCATGGCTGCTGGTCAGGGAGGGGCAGCTCTTCCAGCAGGTCCACGTTGGACAGGGCATCTTCCAGGGTGACGTGGGTGGTCATGGCGGCAGTTTCTGTTTTCTGCACTGGGGGGGATGGAAGAGAAGGAAACGGAGAGTTTCAGGGGCCTTCAAACACTTCTCCCAAGCTCACCCTGTCCAGGCTCCTTCCAGAGAACCCGGGGAGTTAAGAAACACGCACCGAGACCGCTTCCACTTGCTACTTCTTCACGTGGTGCCCTCAACCCGTGCCTGATATCTGAGGATCTCTGTACAGTTTACGAAGTACTTTTTTATGTCTATTGCCTTGACTGAGCCTCACCACAACCCTCTGATGGCAGGTGGTCTCATATCCACATAACTGATGGAAAAACAAGGCTCAGAGAAGTTATGTTGACACTCATACAACCACAGTGACCAGGAGCAAAGGACCTCAAATTATGCTTGACGCTAGAACACGGGCCAAAGCCAAAGTCAGCCTCCAGCTTTTGTTATTCAAGAAGATATTTATCAGTTCCACTCTTAAATTATTGCATAACACAAACATCCATGATTGAGAGAGCCAAAGATTATCAGCTTGAAACCAGAGTGTGAAATTAAGCTGGGAGTCAAAGAATTCAGACTCCAGCAAATTTAACCTTATTTGCAAAAACATCAGAGCCACTGTCTTCCTTGGCCTGGACATATGGTATGTTTTGTGAGCCACACCAAACAAATCAGCCCAAAATGGACATTTTTGTGTCTCAGGCCCTGGCAGACTACAGTGGGTGTGATGAGAACTTTGCCAGGCAGTGAAGCTGAAGAGGTTCTAAACAGCACCTACCTAACAGGAGCTAACTGCTATTTTAAGAACTCAGCACTGAGCAAACAGAATACTCATTTTTTAAAGCATACGTGAAACATTAATTAAAAATCATCATGATTTAGAGCATAAAACAAGTTCTCACAAGTTCCCCTAAATATGACCTTCTAGAAGTCACATTCACTGACTACAGTGCAATAAACTTAGAAATCAATAATGTAAATTATAACAAAGAAAAAACTCCGTATCTATGAAAATTTGTAAAAAACATACTGCTAGGTTATTCATAGCTGAAGAGGAATTCAAATAGAAATTGTAAAATATTTAGAACTGAATGCATTTCATAGGAAATAAGAAAGCAGAATTAAATGAACTGAATTTTCCACTCAAAAACCTAAAAAAGGATAAAAATCAACCCCCAAAAATGAGAATGCAGATATTACTAATTACAAAAGCAGAAATAAATGAAGCAAAAAACAGCAAAACAAAACAAATAGTAGACTAGGTGAACAAAAATCTGAAAACTGAGTTTTAAAAAAAGGTTAATAACATAATAATAAGGAGTACAGCAACTTCTAACCCTTTAGCATATTCGAATGAGGAAACACGGAGAAGGCTGCCTGTGCTCCGGAGAGCGCCCTCCCTCCCTTCCCATCCCTAATCCCAGGGAAGCCTGAGACCTGCTTCAGGGCTGGGGTCTCAGAGTGTCAGAGAATTTGCCTCACTCATTAGGAAATGTGGTGTCAGAGGCCAGGGCAGAAAAGGACCAGCGACAGCAGAGCTGGGCCCAGGCTGTGAAGGGCTGACACAGTTGCAGAGTGCACCCCACGCAGGCTGCCCCTGTGTCTCCTTTAGGCTCGGCTGGGAGGGCAGATGGGGCTGAGCTGCTGACTACCGCTTCACACTTCACTGAGTTCTCAACTCACCTCCCAGTCACACGCTATGGCAACAGTGAAGGCCACATCCAATGAGGGCACGGGGGGCGGGGGGGGGCGGGGGCTCAGAGGTGACTGCCTCCTCTGCCTTCTGCAGGTGCCTGGCCTCACGGAGGTGATTTCAGGCCCTCTCCACACCTAGGCTGCTTCCTCTGCTCTCTTCTCTGCCCTGAATTCTAAGTGTGGCATTCAGTTCTACAGCAAAACCATTTGCCAATCCACAGAAAAGACTGTCTTCTTTAGTACATTAATGTTAAGTCCATTTTGCAGGAAGGGTTAATGATTGTCCAGGGCATAATGATCTGTAAGCTCCAAAGCCCTAATAATTCTCTTTGTTAATTCAAATAATAATAAAACTAACATTTTAAAGCCATTACTCTGTGTCACTCTGCCAAGCACTCAGCTATTTTAATCTTGCATCAACCTTATAAAGGTAAGTACTATGATTATTCCCATTTTACAGATGAGCAAACAGAAGCTCAGAATTTAGGTCACTTTACAAGGTCAAGGGCTGGCAAGTGCTGGAGCTGGGCTTGGAACCTAGGTTTGAAAGGCCTGGAGGAGGGAGGGAGATGCAAGAGGGAAGAGATATGGGAACATGTGTATGTGTATAGCTGATTCACTTTGTTATAGAGCAGAAACTAACACACCATTGTAAAGCAATTATACTCCAATAAAGATGTTAAAAATAAATAAAATTTTTTAAAAAAACAAGGCCTAGAAACAACTATTTATCTATGACTACCAGGGCTGTGTCAAAGGGACCCAGGGGCCAAATTGAGGCAGCCTCCATTGGCCAAAGATGGGGTGATCTGAGCACCAGTTATCACAACTCAAGGGACTTGAAACAATATCAAATATATGTGAATCCATGAGATCATAAAGACACTTAATAAAAACTTGGTTTTATGCCTTTTGTTACTACTGGAGGATGCCTGTGAACCAACTTTTACGCTGAAAATCAATAAATAAAAGGAAAGAAGCAAACACTAAACCAATCTTTCCTATACCAACTGTACAACTGGATAAATGAATTGCAGGAGAGAGAGATGCTTCTCTTTATAAAGGTATTTCTTTTTTTCCCCCAGAAATATTCACAGAATTAAAATATCCCTAGCTTCCAACCCCTAGTGAACAAATGGATGTAGGCACTGATCACCAACTGCTGCTAACATCACTACATGAGGGACAACCAGATATTATGTGCCTCCTGATGGAAAAACACACCATCACCTTACAAAGAGTGCTGAACTCAAAACAAAATATCTGAATCTAATCAAGCCTTTGATACAATCTGACAGGAAATACAGAGGACAGAACATGTTAGAACACACCACGGTGAGGTACTCAGTAAAATACAATCTATGGGAAAGTCTGCTGGACAAATGGCTGAGCATCTTTAACAAATAAAGTGCAAGGGAAAAAAAAAAAGAGATGGAGGGGGAAGTTATAGATGATAAGAGACTTAGACTATCACATGGTTTTACTTCATTTGGATCTTATTTCAAACAAACCACCATAAAGATGAAATTGTAACATATATGAGAAAACAGGAAAATTTCTCTGGCTAGTTACTGACTCTATATTTGACAATATTAAGGAAACTGTTACTATTTTTTAGATGTGACAACAATATTGAGGTTATATTTTAAAATAGTCCTTATCTTCGACAAATACCTACTAAAATATGGATAAAAGGATACAGGGGTTTGCTTCCAAATCATATTAGATGGGGGAAGAGTGAGAAATAAATGAGACAAAATCACCCAAAGTTAATAACTGTTGGTCTTCCCTGGTGGCACAGTGGTTGAGAGTCTGCCTGCCGATGCAGGGAACACGGGTTCGTGCCCCGGTCCGGGAGGATCCCACGTGCCGCGGAGCGGCTGGGCCCGTGAGCCATGGCCGCTGAGCCTGCGCGTCCGGAGCCTGTGATCCGCAACGGGAGAGGCCACAACAGTGAGAGGCCCGCGTACCGAAAAAAAAAAAAAAAAAAAAGTCAATCCTGTGTGATGCTTACACACAGAGATTTATGATAATTTTTAATCCAATTTTATGTTACTTTTATCTTTGGCCACGCCACCCAGCATGTGGGATCTTAGTTCCCTGACCAGGGCTTGAACCTGGGCCCCCTGCAATGGAAGCTCAGAGTCTTAACCACTGAACCGCCAGGGAAGTCCCTCCAATTTTAAATATGTCAGAAATGTTCCATAAAAACTCCCAGCTCAATGTACACAATCCCAGTTCTAATCTGTCTTCCCTTCCTTCATCTTCCCTGACTCCTACTTATGATCTTTACCTTCTCCTTCCTCCTATAACCTGGGTTTCTTCTAAGCTTCTCAGATTCTAAAATACTCATTTACCAGAATAACCCTTAAGATTTTCCCCTTTAACACAATAATACTCCCGTCCTTCCCTTGATCAGAATCAATAAGTGAACGACCTACAGAGCCAATAAATTAGGAGTCTTTATTTCCATTACAAATACAGCTTCTCTAATGGATTTCTCTGTTTCTTTGTAGATCATTCACTGCCTAAGGGAGAAGGAAATCAGACATTTTTAGCCCAAGTGCTAGAAGTCACTGCCAACTCCACATCAGTCAGAAAGAAAAAACATTCCGGAAATTTTATCAGAGGTATACATGAAAAGAAGTACTTCTTTTCCAGCGCAAATGTCCTGCCTGTTATGCAATCTTCCAAAGGAGGAGAATTCTTAATATTGAGTCTACGACCACGTGGTCATTTTGTCACTTTGCAAGAGAAATTAATAAAATATTAAAAAAACTAACACTGTTCTGGGAGCACCATTTACCAGACACAGCTGCAACCTGCACTGTGGGGCATTTATGGCAGATTTAAATTCAGCATCTTCATAACAAACGGAAACTCAGGGGCCTGGTTTCACCGAGTAGTAATAACACCAGGCTCCAGGGCAATCTACTTCTGAGAAGGTCCTGTAGGCCCCGTGCCCGACCCCCTCCACCCCTCCACCCCCCCCACCCCCCCACTGAGATGACTGACAGATCCTGAACAAGAAGCAAGGGGCCTCACAGACGCAGGAAGGGCACTAAGAGAGCCTGGCTTTGGGAATGCAGGTTGCTATTCTCTAAGCAAAAGCTCTGCATTGTTATTTTCTGACTGACTTTCTGGAAGAAAAACGAAAAAAGTCAGAAGGTTTAATGACATGGAAAACTAGGCTAAGCATGGTGGGTAAGCTCGAGTTCTGTGTTCATATCCGCCATCTGTTACTTCCTAGCTGCATAACCATAAGTATGTTCCTTAACCTCTCTGAGCCTCCGTTTCCCTATCTGTAAAAGGGCGATGATTAATAATAGTCCCTGCCCTCAGTGATTTATTATGAGGATTATATAACATTACAGCACGTGAAATGCTCAGCCCAACAGCAGGCACACAGCAAGCACTCGGGAAATGTTAGCTAGTCGGATGGCCTCTTTTTAAGAGAGCGAATGGATGAATTAAACATTGCAACAACTCTCCTACACAAGAGCAAGGCATCAGAAACATTACACTAATTCTTAACTCTACAGATCTTTCATTTTGATTTCCTCAATCATAACACCCTTGCAGGTTCGAGGGGACAGGTGTTATTTTTGCTGTTTTTCTAGGGAGGACACACTGTTGCTAAGAAATGAAAACGTTCATTCACGGTCACATGGTCACTACTAGTGACTGAGTTAGGGCAGAAATGGGATATCTCGACTCCCAATTCTAAGCCCTTTCTTCTAGACTGCACCACTTTTGTACCTTTTTGAAAGGTACCAAGCAC